GATTTAGGTTGCGCTTTACCGAGCACGGAATCGTCTTCAAAAACCTAGCCCAAATCTGGGAACAAAAACGCAAAACGCAANNCGCAACCGCGCAACCGCGCAATCGAACAGGCCCCAAAGCAGACGGACCATGGATAACCCCTTTTTGATTACAGTGAAGTATCGGTTTTCTCGATACTTTTCTTAGATTTCATTTACGGAACTTTGACACAGTCTTGGATACAGATGTAAGCCGTACGTGATTCACCACTATGCGGGTTCCGCCTTGCGAGCCGACCGTTGCAAATCAACATGAAGCTGTCGCCAAGAGGAAGCCGTGACAACCGGGAACCCCGGTCATTTGTGGAGATTACAAGATGCCGAGTCATAGACTGCAGAAAATCCTAATGAATGAAATGATTGCAACTGACTTGGTAACTTTCGAGCAAACCAAGTCGCCAAAGTGAAAAGACATGATAAGAGTGACGAACCGGTTGACTCCCACGGATCCAGAGTAAGGCCCTTGGGAACTCCAAATGCAACCCAGATCTGTATTGTGAAAGTCTGGGTGTCGTCGGAATAGTTCATAAGGTTCATAACGGCATTAAGCCTACTTGGGGGAATTGGTTAAGGCGATTAAGTCGGACCTAATCCGGAACAACTCAGAATGGCTCTATCATTTGCGAAAAAAAATAGTGAAGGTCTATTCCAATTGGTGCCAACATGAGCTTACCAGGGTTTGGACCGCTCCCTATAAACCTTAACTTGGTTTACGTTGATGCAATTTCCCACACCCTGTCATGTCCTCTAAGATTTTAGCTCAAGCCCTATTGCAGCAATTTCTAACCCGTGTCATATACTTACTCTGAGAACACTTTGACAACGCTCTCCTTTCAAGCTGTAAGATGGGCCAGTTAGTCATGGCTGCGGAGATGGCCCACAACGCGCGCGTTTTCTTACACCACTCTCTATCGTGGCAGTCTGCGATTGAGTCTACATGTACCTCTGTTGTTTAGCATGCCTAATACTGCCCTTCACGCTTTCAATCAACCTAAGAACCAATTAATCTTTCTACAAAGTGCATTCATACGTCAACGATCAACACCAGGCGGATTGGTCCGCCGGATAATATTTCCCGAAACCAAGCCCGTGGAGCTATGTGTGTGTAAGCTGACAGGCCTACGAGCCTTGGTCAAGGGCTAAAACGAAATGAGTGAGAGGTGACTTTGAGATGCTTGGGGGGTTGACGGCCAATGTGGTTAACAGGGAAGTGACATTAGACCGAGTCTGTGGAAGCATCTCGCAGTAAGCACCGAAGTCACGACATTTTCCAGTGACAAGACTAAAAATATGTCATGATGCTGGTCAGAGTCAGGAAGGGGTGTATGAGTATATAGCTGTTCATGTTCTGCCTCCTTTACTGATTCTTCACAGCTACAACTGCCTATCGTCTGCTTTTCAGCTTTAATCCCCACACTCTTTTATACCCACGCTCATTACCTAGTACTACCTAAACGGTCTACTTATCATTTCTCAAAATGAAGTCCACTCTTTTCGCTGTTGTCGCCGTCTTGGCCGCTTCCGTCTCCGCCTTGCCTTACAAGCAGGACAAGGACTGTGAGTGCAAATAACTATCTTATATATTCCCAATTACTAACGACCAGCAGGCAAGAGCCCTTTCCCCAATGTCTCTTGCAAGCCCCTCACGCTCCAGAACTACACTATCGTCGCTGGTGACACCCTGACGACCATTGCCGACAAGTTCGGTTCCGGTGCTTGCAACATCGCCGCAGTCAACAACATCTCCAACCCCAATCTCATCTTCCCCGGCGAGGTCGTCACTGTCCCAGCCAACTGCACTGGAGCCATCGACACGAACAGCTGCGTTCCCAACACTATCCAGGCAACTGGCACCCAGGACTGCGTCAAGGGTCTGTCCGTCAACCCTCCCACCTACCAGGTCCTCCCCGATGACACCTTCACTCTCATCGCAAACAACTTTGACCTCAAGCTCACCGCCCTCGAGAACGCCAACCAGGGCAGGTTCGCCAACTTCAACGCCATCTTCGCCGGCAACCAGACCATCATTCCCATCTGCCAAGGCTGCTCTTGCACCAACAGCAAGTACACCGTTGCCTCTGGTGACACCTTCAGCGCCATTGCCCAGAAGAACGGCATCACCACCGGCCAAATTGAGGCTGCCAACCCCGGCCAAATTCCTCAGCAGCTCCAGGTCGGCCAGGTCATCAACTTGCCCGTCTGCTCGTGCAATGCTTAAGTTCCACACAAAAAACATGATTAGTCTCTTGTTTTTGAGCTTGTGGGATTGAGGTGACTGTAAATGTGTGTCTGGTCTGTGGTAGGTGAAAAAGGCGTTAGCATATACTCGCGACTGTAGTTGTTTCACTGTTCAGCACACGAACCAAAAGGCAAGCTTTTGAAGATCCAGTCAATCCATCTTCTCAAGATTCGGTCAAAATTTAGAAATAATATCTTAGAAAATCCAGTATATGGAACTAATTACTGTATTCTTCTACTTTTGTCTGTTTTCAACTCTTGGTGAAGTGATGTTTCCTTGTGACACTTGAATATTGATTGAGTTGGTGAGCTATTGCGATCTTTAGCTACTTTCCTCCACACTTAGATCGTCTATTAGATACAACTACTTAGTCTGTTCCTCTATCTTTAGCCAAGGACGGAGCATGTGACCTGTCTGGTCTAGCGTCAATTCCCTGTATACGTGCGTTTTCTAGAGACTTAGTACAGTCACTACCCAAGTCGTCCTTTCGCCATCGTACTATCTCCAATAGTTTGCACAATATCGGCGTGCACACGTGGGCCGCATCATGTTACCGCCTGTCGACATCACCATGGGCTCCAGGATCAAGAGTCTTTTGAAAAGTCTGCGCAAAGTTCTCGAAGGCAAGATCATAAGCCAGGCGGAGTTCAACAATTCTCTAGGTTTCCTACAACCTCGGGGCTTTACCATCTATCGAACGTACTATGGGCCCGGATCTGATCAGCAATGGGACGAGTTGATCCAGGCTATCACCATTGGCGCCAAGGATGCAATTAGAGAAAAGACTAAATTTACCGATGACCCTGCCATGATTGCTAAAGTGGAGGAACTCTTTAAACAAGATACTCGCTCAGATCCTACGGTTTTGGAAGGCTTGACGCTAGAAGAAGTACGGCAGCTTCATCACAAAGGAACGGGAGGCCAGCCGATCAACATAGACAGGGACCTATGGCGAATATTCATACTGGGTGACACGGAGGTATTTTAAAAAAAAACCCTGACTTAGACGTAACTAAGTGTGTAGTAGCAGACTATGATGCCGCTGTTTGCGTGCTAAAGAACCTATGATTTGGCCCACAACGGTACTTTGGGTGGTCAAAGATGTCTCTAAACTACGTCTTGAAACTTTGGTTTGAATTAGAAATATATTTCCTTAAGTAAATTATTTACTTTACCGCGGGTGGACTTGGTGTGTGGTGGGATGTAAATGATGAATATTGAGCGACGGGATTTTATGGCGAATCTATCTACGCATCATCTCAAGGCGGCACATTCGTCAACCTCACCACACCTACGGTACTAACCTCAACTACTAATCCTCTTAGTAGGGTCTCACTGCCAGAGGGTGCAACTGTTGCTCAAGGAACCACTCTGGAATGGGGAAAATGGCAGGTGGTAACAGCTGTGGACTTGTGCGTCAAGATGTAGCTTACCAACAGTATTGACACAGCGTTGTTTCATCAAGCTAATCCTTCTTTTGAGGATGGTTCCGCTTGCGATGCATCATTGAAGGCACGGACTGCGTTCTGTTTTGGGTCAGTGTACGGGTGGAAGCCTGCGCTGCCTAGTACCTCTTTGTAGCTATTGTAATACTTGATATGAGATAACTCAGAAGCTAAGCGTGATACTCTTGCGTCTTAGGCTAAGAAAGCTTACATACTCGATGTAATTTTAGCAGCGAATCAGACATTCAGTCTTATGCAATGCGTCATGTCTACTGGCTATGATGGCTCTCTCGCAACTTTCCGAGATTAGTGTCGCTACCCCGCGCAAGCCTGGCTTGCGCAAGAAGCGGAGCGTCCGCGCTAGGACAAAGTCAAGTCCGGCGGAGCACGAAGATAGAGTCGCGCTTTCGCCAGCACGCTGTGGAATCGCTGTTGCAATGGTGCGTAATCCCCAATTGCCGCAGATCCTTGTTCCCCGCAACATTCTCATACTTACAGTCTAGGATGAAACGAGCAGTAGTACATTTCATCCGATCGCCTGCGAGTCCTGTCGCAACAAAAAGTCAAAGGTCAGCTTCATTTCAACAATTTGAAACAACATCTAAAGTGCTCTTCAGTGTGACCGTGAGCTGCCGATATGCTCGCAATGTAGCTCCTCAGACACGTTATGCCGATACCCACCAATCAATAAAAGGTGCTCTGACGCCGAGTCTGCCAGGTGCTTGCTAATCGCACAAATAGAGGTATACCATCTGGATACATATCTTTCGTCGAACAGCGACTCCTCGAGACTGAGATTGTCGTTTTGGAGCTTCTTTCGGCCATCTACGAGTCGCGTGTACCGATCGAACCTCAGCGCCTTCCCGAGAGGGATCGTCGGCTGTTAGCAGAGTATGGCCAGAAGCAAGCCAAAACACATAAAATTGAAGAATGGAAGAATCTTCCTCTTAGTACAGAGGAGCAGAGACGCACTTGGTGGTTGAAGAAGAGCGAACGTATCGCAAAGGCGGCAGAAACCAGTGGCGATCACCCAACCCAAAAGAGTCCCACTGCAACCAGCCCCTGGATAGCGAGTTCAAGCAGAACTATACATGATGAGGGCACGCAAGTACTATTAGGCGCTGAACAAGCGGCCCTTTTGCCGGGACAACCTCCAGGAATGCAAGTTCCGTGGCGACCAGTTGTTGATGGGACTGGGTCATCTAAACCAGATACGAATCTAGAACATCTTGACCAGAGCACCGCAGGCTTCTCTCCGCTGGAAGATATAGGTGGGGAAGGATATTCTGATGTACCAGAGGCGCCTACACCTCCATGCCAACCAACGCTGCAGTCGCATTCTGCAGTCGACGCGAGATGGCGAAAATACTTTTGAGAAGGAGAGTACTTTCTTTTCTTCTATATCGTTTTGTTTCTATGAGTTTTTAGGTGGCAATATATTTCGCAAAATACTCAGCAAACAATCGTTAGCTGCGCACCGTGAATATGCACTTCAGAAGTCGTGACTGGCCCCGCTCTTACTGCTGTGTACTTAACCTTGTCTAGCCTCAGCCCTGAACCTTGGCTGCCCCTTCCGTATGTAGCGCCACAGCTTCCACCCCAGTTTTGCATGGTTCATTCTTGTTCGCGCTCATCATCACGCTTGTTTCAACTTCAGCAAATTCCATTACGACAACGCTTTTCCCACGTCGGACTGGGTCTTCTTCTCTGTCGGGCCTCATGAGCGTGATAGTACTGTTTCACGCGTCATGTCGGAGGTTCACGTGATTCCCAGCAAGCGGCGAGCGCCCCACAGTGAAGCTGTCGATACTGCGGCGGCATCCGATGCAAGTGGTGCCAAGAAACGCAGAGCATTTCTCCAGACTATGGGCCAGCAGTTGAGAGAGTTTGGGGCAGAAGGAACAAGTCCACAGGACGACAACCGCAGCACGTTTAGGATTAGCCCAGCCAACAACGCTGGACCACCGTCCATCATTGAAAATGCCGCCGGAGTTCATTCATCAGTTCGACCCGTTGATACACCGGAGAGTGATGCCGCACCAGGCGAAGAAGACCAGCTACCTGCGGGTGCATCCAAGAGTGCATCGAGGTGGCTGTGGAGACAAGGCGAAGTAGTTGCTCCAACACCGGAAACGATTGCATCGCCCATCATCTTTGAAGATCTCCTCGAGTGGAGCCAAGCGTATTTTGATCACTGGCATCCCGCATTTCCCTTCTTGCATGCTCCTTCCCTGTTGGATTACTTTCGTCAAATTGTACAACGAGGTACACGTGTTGCAGCACTGTCCACGGCAAATGAGCTGCAACATATCGTACTTCGCTCAGTCATGTCGATATCGATATGTGATCGGCGACAAATTGACACGGCGAGAAAGGCCGTACCAACCAATCTTGTGTTTCATTCAATCAATGATGCTATCCGGAGTACACAGCTGATTTTGACCGAAGAGACTTCGGTCCTGTCACTACAAGCGCTGATCAGCATCCAGCTTCTTTTAATCACGATGCACAGATACAATGCTGCGTCTCGCCTCGAAGGATTGGCAGTCCGGATGGCTTTCCAATTGGGGTTGCATCGTTGTCCGGTGCAACGATCAGTACCTGATAAGGAAGCTGAGTTGAGAAAACGGCTCTTTTGGTCTGTACTATGTATAGATCGACATATTTGCATCCGACTAGGAACTCCACTTGGTATACGGTCGGATGAGGCTAATGTATGCTATCCGCATACCGAACGACACCATGATCGCGAGGACAGAGACGGTATGTACATACATAGAGGCGTGGTCCATAATACCACTTATATTCACTATTTCTCAGGTAAAGAACGAGACGATCGGCTAGATCTGTTGGAATTTTTAGCTCAACATGCTGATATTCGCGGATCTATCATGCAAACACGGCACCGAACTTTTCTCCATGGTAGTGCAAACGAGACGGAAGAGGCCCTGGAAAGGGAAGCAGAGCACACCAGATGGTGGAATATGGTCGACGAGTATCTCTCAAACGAGGAGCAAGTGCAGAACATATCCAAGGCCCATCAGGTTACTCTAATTGTTCTTCGCTTCGAATCTATTCTAGCGCTACACCGCTCCGTGCTGGCAATTTCCAAAAAGGATGCAGCTTATAACGTGGCATTACAAAGATGCATATCCGCCTCGCGCTCCATCATCAACACTTTACACAAGGCACTCCGGGGATTCGGTGCATTCGATGGCTCCCCTGGCCAACATGGCTACGAACGAACCCCATTGATTTGGCCTTCTTTCACATGGGCGGTGTGGATGAGCACGTTTGTAATTCTTTCCGCTGCGTCAGAAGGCCAGGTCACTCGAGACATTGCAATACGACTTTCTGATCGAAGCATACAAATTCTGAAGCACCTGGCATTGAGGGGCACAAAATGGCCAGATGCTTGTATAGTCGCAATTCAAAATCTTACAGCACGATTGAGCAAGCCATCAACTCGGAGCTCTACTGTTGTACCTGGAGCTGCCCCGGTAAATGAAAGCCGACCAACTGGCGAAACTTCCTCATTACTTGGTATTCGCCAAACATCCCATCAAGGGAATGAAGTATTCCCAGAACGACAGGACGTACCAACACATTCAATGCAAAGCCATCCGGCGATGGGTATGACAACAAACTCTCAGCCGGCTCCAAGAAACATCACTTATTCTCATGCAGAATCGAATCCAACAATGATGATGAGCAACCTTGGGTCATTGAACTTTCCAAATAGTGATATTAGCAATACTCTAGCTGCCAACAATCCGACATATGACTACATTGCTGACCCAGGTAACTTCCTTGGTATTGCTCATCAGGACTCAGATAACCCATTGCCAAACGAACAAATCATGCACCTGTTCAACGGAGAGGACATGAACTATTGGTGGGATAGGGATTTCGGCCCACCAGGAAATATGGCATATCACAATGGCGGTTTTCGATGAAAATCAATCTTTTGAAATAACTGTCAAATTATAAACTGTAAATCTACACCAACACTTCTATTTAACTGCTTTTGGGCGGCGATACCTTGCCCAGTGAGGCCGACTTGAAGGCAGCATGGATCTCTTGCTCCGCCCCATCCTGAAGTGGCAGAAGCCCACTCCTGACCGTCGCATGTTCGAGGATACCTCTCGCCACCAGTCCGTGCTTCAGTGCTACTGTGCCTTCCATGTGTGAGCCGCGGTGGTAGACGTTCCTAGTTACAGGAAGCAATCTGTCGTGGATGGCCCTTGCGCGAGGATAGTCCCTCGCCTTTCCGGCTTCAATCATCTCCAAGAGTGGCTCTGGCGCAATGTTGCCGTATCCAACAAGCATGCCGTCGACATCGAAGCATGTGTGTAGTAGGTATTCGTCGTGGCATGTAAGGATGGTCAAATCGGGATTTTGCTTCTTGATAATGGGAATCTCTACGTCCCACCGTCTCATGTTGCGGACACCGTTCTTCATGGCAATAACACCGGGTTGTGCAGCGATATCGAGAAGAGTGTCTAGATTGTAGGTTGCCTTTGTGTTGTCGGGATATTGGAACAAGATGAGAGGAAGTCCAGATTTCTCGTACACTGTCCTGTATCTGTCTTGTGGAGCACCGGGCTGGTATCCGAAACGCAGCCAGCCATGGCTGGGGTACAGGAGACCAGCCTTGGCTCCTGCAGCCTTTGCCCGTTGAGCCTCGAGGGCTGCTACCTCTGTGCCTTCGGTTGTGATTCCTGCAATGATTGGTATCTTGTCATCGACGGACTTGACAAAGGCCTTGATGACTTCGACTTGCTCTTCTTGAGTAAGGAAAGTACCCTCGCCGGCATGTCCAAGGACTACTAGTCCCTTGACACCAGGAATGCTGCCGAGCCATGAACCTAGGCGTTGGATAGCAGCATAGTCGACCGAACCATCCCTGTTGAATGGCGTAACTGGGGCTGGAACAAGACCCGCAAGGTCAATCTGAGGAGCTTTCTTGACCTCTGGCATTGAACCCATTGTGATGATATGTGAAAATGGTGTTACGATTTAGAGAAGAGTGGTTTATTTGTAAGAGTGTAGAGTTGTGAGTTTGATGATGATGAAAACCCTGGGATCCGAGCTTGCATTATATGCACTCTGAAGCATGTTGCATACCAATGCAAAATGTTGACCCTAATTGGATTTCTAACCATTCTACAAGGTTTGGACCCATGTGTAAGCGCACATCTCACACAGAACAAGACACGGACTTGAGAAAGTGCGTACGAACCCCACGGGGAGTTATGATAATACGCACCTGGAGAAGCTAGCCTGATGCCACAATGCGGGGATCGAGACTTGGCGGGTCGCCAAGGCTTGCCACCAGTGCAAGCCATGTCACGTGCTCGATCCACCGGACTTGTCTTTGTCCGCCTCTTGGACTAAGTTGCCAAGTTCTTTCCGCTAAAAAATCAAGTAGTAGCTACGAGTCAATGAAACTTGACTCAGAATGAGTTTGACTGGCCCATGAAGTGCCGGCTTCCTCCCCGCCTCTCCATGTTTACTCCGCTTTTCACTAAGAGTGTGGGATCTGGGGAAAGTCCGGGGTAGGTGCGGGATCGAGCTAGACTCAGGACTTTCTGTACAACATTTGTCCAGCCTGAATATATAGAGGAGAAAAAAAAGTTTCAGTCCTTGATCTGTTTGAATTTTGTTTCAGCCCATGGATTAGTGACGAACCTCTTTTTCCTTCGACAATAGCAGCCCATCATGGCTGGAACCAACTACAACCACGACGCCGAGAAGGACGTACCCCTCCACATTGACGATGTCGAAACATCGGAAAAGGACCTTGCTCAAAAAGGCACACCCGAAGGTGCAGATTACACCGGCGCAGTCGCAAAAACCGACCCAGCAGAGATTGCCCTTGTGCGCAAGCTCGACATGCGCGTGATGCCAGCGCTCTTTGCCATGTACTTTCTGTACGAACCACTTTGCCTCTGTCTCACCTTCCCATTGGTCAAAAATAGCTAACAACTCCAAGAAACAAGCTCGACCAAAACGCAATCGCCAACGCCCGCCTCGATGGTCTGGAGAAAGACCTAGGTCTTCATGGCTCCCAGTACAACACATGCATATCCATCCTCTACGTCGGTTACCTCTTCGCCCAGGTACCCAGCAACATGCTCATGTCGTCGCGCAAAGTGCGGCCCTCGGTCTACATGGCCACTTGCTGCACCGTCTGGGGCTGCGTCGCTGCCCTCACCGCACTAGTTAAGAACTACACTGGACTGGTCCTTGTGCGCTTCTGTCTCGGGTTCGTTGAAAACCATATTCCACAATTTTTTTTTAAGTTTTTCTTTCTCACTAACCTTTGTATGCACACAGTTTTGTTGAAGCTCCTTTCTACCCTGGAGCGCTGTATATCCTGAGTATGTTTTATACGCGGAAAGAGATTGCGACGAGAGTGGCTATTCTTTATGCGGGGAATATCTTTGCGGTGTCGTTTGCGGGGCTGATTGCTGCGGCCGTGTTTGCGACGTTGAGTGATAAACATGGCATGCATGGGTGAGTGGTTTACTGTCGGTGTAGGCGCGTGTTAGAGGATATGCTAATGGTTGTGTGACAGATGGCAGTGGCTGTTCATCATAGAGGGAATAGTTACGGTGGGCGTATCTATCATTTGCATGTTCTTGCTACCTGATGAGCCATTGACAACGAAGTGGCTTACGCCTGAGCAACGTCAGTTGGCCCATGACCGTATTCAGAGGGATACTGTTGGACTTGAGCCGAGCAAGGGATCAAGAGCGGGCTTTATGCAAGCACTTCGCGATCCTCGTCTTTACCTGCTTGTTTTCATGCAGAACATGCACTTGAGCGCCACTTCGTTCAACCAGGTATGTCTATGCGGATTGGTTTTGCTTGAGATCATCGCTAACTGATGGTGACTAGTTCTTTCCTACGGTCGTCAAATCTCTAGGCTTCAACACGACAATCACCCTAGTTCTAACGGCTCCACCGTCCCTGGTTGCGGGCGCGGTCGGTATCTGCGTTGGCATCTCCTCCGGGAAATACAACGATAGAACCTGGCACATCACCGTCATGATGGGTCTTGCCGTCATTGGTTTCGCGATCAGCGCTGCTACTCTCAACCTCGCTGCACGCTACGTGTCGTGCTTCCTCTTCGCATCTGGTTCGTTTACCCAACATACACCGCCACTATACCAGTTATCTTTTACTAACATCTCCACAAAGGTGTCTACTCTGTCAACTCTGTCATCCTAGGTTGGGTTTCCGGCACACTCGGCCAAACCACCGAAAAGAAAGCCGTTTCGTTGTCGATTGTCAATGTCGTTTCCATGGCGAGTTTCATCTACACACCTTATCTGTACCCCGAGAGTGACGGCCCTAAGTACGTCATTGCTATGAGTAGTAATGCGTCGTTTTCAGCGGCGTGTATTGCGTCTGCTTGGGCCTTGAGAATCTGGCTTCAAGTTACGAACAAGCGGCTACGAAGGGATGGGGTTAATGTGTTTTATGCATACTAAAGAACATAGTTTCTATTGTAGAAGGTATTTCCAATAAACATACGTAACATCTGCTTAGTGTTGCAAGATATAATGTTATCTATGCGGTTGGTATGTATTGTCGAAATGCCACTGGTCGCTGGGCATGAATTCTCTGCCGCTCTTGGGTGGTCCTTTGATCGTTGATTGGTCCAAGTACATGGATACCAAGAACCAGTAATGGTCGCGAAATGACCTTGGTAGTTTTAGATACACGTTGTACCTGTCGAATATTGGTTTCTTAAGCCACTGCTCCACACCCTCGTGAAATCGTATCCACAATTCATCTCGATCTTATCTGGACCCTCGAAACCAACCTCACGAACCTGTGTCTTGGCAAATACGGTCACTCCCGCACACCAAAACTATTCGAATCACACTTGAGATCTTCGTGCTTAAGACAATCCAGTAGGGATTGTACCATGCGTATCATTTCGCTTATACTATTTGGATACCTGTGAGGCTGGTGTGAGGGGAGGATATAAAGAGACTACGTATAGGTTGTCCGACTACACTTGAGACAGAAACTATCGAAAAAGTAGTGAAGCGCGACTTTCTTTTTCTCGTCCATGGCACGTATGTAGAAAGTCTGCTGAACACCACGCATTTGATCGAATCAATTCACAGAACGTCAAGGGGGTTTGCGATTGCTCCTGCTCTTCAGCTAAGTTCTAAATCCAAGATAACCACCGATGCAACTTGGTTTATGCTCTCGTCCAATCATTTACCCCAGCCCAGAAACTACTGCACAAATGAACAAAGCCACTGACCAAACCAGACCCTAAGTATATCCATCTCGGATGTCTTAGGAACCGTTAACCATCCAGGGACCAACCATGCCTACCACAAAGTTTAAGTTCATTCAGCTAACAATGCGTCGTAGTAGTGAAACCAGTAGAAACAACTTAAACACTATTCTTAAAAAAACACAAAAGCGCCTAGCCTCGGAACACCAAAAACATCTAACCGTCGCTCTCACACCAAACAAAAAATGAGGGGTAAGGACGAAAAAAGGACCCCGCCCCAAACCTCCAGCTTCAATCAACAATACCAGGTTTCCTTGGGTTAACAGAGCCTCACCATTGTAACCCTAGCCCCAACCTTACTTTCCTTCTCCCCCCCCCCATGCCACCTCTGCGCCGTCTTATCGCACTCTCCACATTCGGCCTTTTTTCTTAACACTTACCCTCGGCCCAAACAGAGAGAGAAAGAGCCCCATTTGCTCGCTGAAAGTGGCGCGCGTGACCAACAAAGAACCCACGGGTACCTTTTATTTTCCCTTGGCTGATGAGCTGGCCGCCGTTTGCGCGCATAGAAATAGCCCTTGCGCAAAAAAGTGTACATGGACCCCACTGATTCGCCACCGGTAAACGCCACTAACTTTGGCGAGCGACCAATTCTCGTGCGGCAGCACATGTGCGTTTGGGGGCGCTAGCGGCGTGGGACGCTGTGTATGGACAGGAGCTGAAAGGTAGCTATGCTGGGGTTTGGGGGCAAGGCCACCACTCAACGCATGTTGTCGCGGTGTCAATGTGTGTGATGCGGGAAGTTCTGGAATGCGGTTCATGGGGGCTGTTATTCTTTAAAGGGTAAATGGACGCCTTTCCCTCCCCCCCTCGTGTTCCCACTATTTGAAATCCCTGGTTGTACCCTGATTTCTTTCTTTCTTTTAAGCCTTTTTCTAGTCTGCTTACCTTGCAGCTCAAGATTATCTCGCGTTGTTGTTGCTGTTTTCCCTGTTTGCACTTTGGTGCGCGACTGTCTCTTCTGAAACCCAGGGCGTTCTCTCACTCTCGCTGGCCAACTGGGAGAAAAAGAAGAAGAAGAAAAGTAAACGCCGTCTTTACCTAACAAAAAACTTTACATCTGGTCACATCATATCACTCAATTTCACGAATTACACGAATATCAACGACTCGTTGATACGTTATCATCACACCGCCGTGTCCTACTGCTATCAAGCAATCAACACTCACCAATCTATCAACAACCAACAAACACACACAACACACATCATGGCACCTACACCAGATACCTCCAACATCCCCGAAGCCCCACCAGCCCTATCGTCCAACGCCACCTCCCGCAGCGACGGCTTCAGTCCCGGCGCCATCATCGGCATCGTCATAGCCATTGTCATCCTCATTCTAACCGTCCCTCTCATCGCCGTCTGCCTGCGCCGCTACGAAAAGTCGCGTCTCCGCGAAACACCCAAGAGCCCCGGGAGCAGCAGCGCCAGCCTGCGGAGCGTGCAGGAAGACCACAGTCTGAAAAGCATTCTTGTTACCAAGGAGTTGTCGCGGTCGAGTGTGCGCATGGAGAGGGCGGACGAGAGGATACGGAGGCCCGAGGAGGTGTACGGGGGCGGGAGGGAGAGGGAGAGGGCGTGGAGTTGTACTGAGGTCCATGGTGGAGAGAAGTAGAGGAAGATGCTGGGTTTTTTTCTCTTACTTTCTTTAGATGAGGATTTTTGAGTTCCATGGGCTATGAAGCGCCTAAAAGAAGACTTAATTTTCGCCTGCGAGGGCGATTCCGCGTTAATTTATGCTGAGATAATGTAGCGTTTTCACTGTTTGTGTATGGGGGGCTGGTCCTCCCGGGGACTGCCTTCTTCTTTGTTTGTTGGCTTCTCGCTCAGTTCTTGAGGTTAGCGGAGTGTCGAAAAGACTGCGCAGATGTAGGCTTGGGAATATTTCCAGTATTAATAGAGTGAGGTTATACCGCACCAAAGACCAAGTAGCGTCGATACTTGACTATAGTCGTCGATATAGATGCATCTGCATCCGCATATTTTCAAGCTCAATTGGATAGCTCAGCCTGTCATCCAACCTAAACCATCGACTATCATCTTCCTTGACCTTCTCCCAACTCGCAATCTCATCTTTACCTCTCTCATGCTTATTGCTGCTGGCTTGGTCCAGGAGCGTATGGTCGAGGAGCCATTGCATGGGGTACTTTTTCTCTGCTCCGTTGAGCGTGACGGTGGAGTAGCTTCCGGGGCTATCAACGACTAGAAGTAGGGATCCGGGTTTCATTACTGAAGTGAGCTGGAGGAGGAATTTCTGGGTTAGAGGGAGGGACGTGGAGTAGAGTTCGTTGAGGGTAAAGAGCATAGTGACTAGGTTTGCGTCTGCTAACTGCGATGTCATTTCCGATGCAGACGCCTTGAGAACGTCCTGTTGGTGGAATGCGATCGATATCTGATCTTGGTCCAGAAAAGGCACATTTGCTGCCTTTGCAGCAGCTGATGCGTACTTTGACAATGTCGGTGCAGTCGTAAGGTGTTTTGCCAGGTTATCCACTACCACATTCCAGTCCGCAATATCGATAGCCGTGACCTCCATCTTTCCCGCATTCATCGCCTTCTCGTCTTCCCCCTCTTTCCGTTCCACCATCTTACTCACAAGTAATTTCTGCAATCCGCCCAGAGCAACAATTTCCGCACCAGCTCCGCCGCCCAAACATACAACCTTCCGACTCTTAACATGATCAGATCCGTCGGCATCAGGTATGGTTTCTTCCAGGTCGAATCCGAGCTCTCGTCTCAAATCCCAAAACAAGTCCAAATACCCCAACGCCCGGCTCGGACTCCATCTTGCCGCATACATCTCCAGATACTCCTCCTTGCCAAACGCAGCCGCAAAATCCCGATTAAACAAATGTCCCTTGACTTCCTGCAAGAGAGGCCCAAAATCAATACTCAGCCGCTCCGCAAATGAATTCCGGAATATATTCAGCAAAAGCTGCTGGAGTTCAATCGGGATCAGCAGCGCTTTCGCCTCGCTTTTCTCTTCTTCCCCCGAGCGCCGTTCTGGTCGCGGTTTGGGTGCCTTGGTGGCTTCCCTTTGCGCCTTGCGCTTTGCGTTTAGTTTTGAATTTGGGGCCATTGTTCCAAACAAAAAGGGTGGGAGTAAAAAAATTATCGCAAATTACCAGTCCAGTTAGTCTAAGAGACTGGAGGATGGGAAAGGGCAAATGGGGGCAAATACAGAAAGTCCCTTCTTTATCGATAATAATTCTACTTTAAGCGAAGGAAGTGTTGTTTGATTCGCCGCTGACTGACGTTACGAATTCTCCACTTCGGAACGGTTCCGATGTCGATAACGTACTAACCCGACCTCGGGCCCATGGGACGGTTTCGTATGGGTGTGTCTGAGTCACGGGTGTTTCTGCTTTTAAACATCTGAAAAATAGAGAAGCTGGTAACTTGCGTTTTTCTCAATTGTTACGGATTTCCAACATGCGTCTCCCATACGTGCCTGATCCCCCAAACTTCACGTCGGAAGAGGATAAAGCGGTGGAGCAGCGGGTGCGAGAGAGGCGGGGTGAGAAGGGGCTGATAGCGTTGGATCGGACATTGCTGCATTCTCCACCAGTAGCTGATGGATGGTAAGTCTATACTTTCTATCCAGACTCCTTCTCTTTCAATTTTGAAAAAAAATGAGTTTTAATTGTATCTTAGGAATTCATTCCTGGGCTCCATCCGTACCAAAACCAGTCTCCCCACTTCGATCCGTGAAACGGCAATCTGCCGCGTCGCAATTCTAAACCGGGCATGGTATGAGTGGGAATCGCATTCTCCTATTCTCTCATCTGCATCAGGTACGTATTTCCTCAGATTACCGCACACACTGTTCACAGGACTAATTGCCCAGACGTCACTCCACAACAAGTCGAAGCAGTCCTGAAATCTCCACCTCGTTCACCATTAGTAGATGTCTTGGGCCCTTCTCTCTCCACGCTACTGGCGTACACAGACGCTATGACGCTGGATGTCCAAGTTCCTGATGCTGTATTTGCAGAACTTAAAAAATTATTCAGTGAGCGTGAGGTCGTCGAAATTACAGCCACAATCGCAGCATACAACTGCGTGAGTCGTTTCCTCGTTGCGCTGGATGTTGGAGAGAGGAACGCGCAGACAGGACCCAAGGAAGGCGGAAAGGAGTAAAGCTAGAATATTCGTATATTATTGTGTGATATGTAAGATATCAACATACGCACGTGATTTCCAACATCCCGTCTCGAGACCTTTTCCGATCTCTAGTGAACTTCTTGCATCGCCGAGGGTATTCAGCCTTCTCAAGCCCTTCCCAAGCAAGTCTCTCACGCCTTCCTGCTCTGCCTAGCAATCTTCCTCCTCTGCGCCAACATGTGAGAGAACAAGATGTACGAGCCGGGCACATAGATAGCCAGGATAGCCCAAAGCGCGTACCCAAATAATTCATTCCTCTGGCTTGCGAGCGGGATGGCCTGGTACACCAACCAACATTCGGACGAGATGCCTAGCGGGTAGAGAACGAGGAAAGTGTTGTATCTCAGCCATGTCCAGAGCTTCGGTACTCCGGTCCCCGCTAGAGAGAAGACAAAGTACGAGTAACGGATGACTTCTGTGACGGACCAAGCAAGCAGCATGGTGGTATAGGCTGGCGAATGGCGCGTTGAGAAAGGGAAAGCGTAGGGCGAGGCAATGAGGTGGACGAGCAGAAAGCGCGAGGCAACCTGCATGAGTGTGGTCAAGAAGGGTGCTCTGACGATGCCTAATATACACGTTAACCTTTTGCACTCGCATCTAGTTCCTCTATTTGTAAACATACCAACCAGACTGTGAAGCACCTCAAGCCCTGCCAGACTCTGCACAGTCCTTGTGTAGTATTCGAGGTTGTCGTATACTTTTGCACTTGATAGTCCTCTTTGTATCGCAGTAGGCCAGTCACCATTGCCAAAGAATGCAACCGCCTTGTGTACATTCAGTACCTCATTGACTCCGATGGTGGCGGTCTGGTATAGAACACCTGCCCACAGCACAGCAGATACGGCATTGTAAGTCAGAAGGTAGGCGTTCTTTGCACCCGATTGTTGCGCAGGCCTCTGATCGTTTGGTGCAGCGGCCTGTCCTGTGGTAGATTTGGACGGCATTATGGTCTTATTGTAGTAGTTTGTCTTCAAGAAGAAAGGGGAAAGGAATTGGCAGTATTAAAAAAATGGGGGTTGGCTGCAAAGAGTCTACGTGTGCCTAACACTCTGAGCTACAACATTTCGACAAAAGGCCTCGGCTTGCGTTCCTGGCGAACCCCTGCTCGCTTGGCGTAGCCGATGCCGGGATGTCATGTGTGATGAGATCATGGCACGTTTTTTACAGCTCTATTCCCTTGACTTCGGTATCCGAGTGATTTATCATAGGATGATTTCAGTTGTGATGAATAGTAAAAAAACATTTCAATATACAAGTTCATGCATTCCACGTGACATTCAAATCTTACAAATAGAGAAAGAGCTAGACTCGTCGAACTGACTACGGCATTGATAGAAGAAATGCTAAACCCGTTAACGCCCAAGTATGCAATGCAGCAAATGAAAGAAACGCCGCAGTAGAAAAGCCTAGATAGATTTGAAGGATGCAAAGAAGAACGAGATTAGGAATGCAAGCCCGGGTATCGTTGAACATCCCAAGTATAACTCAGCCGAAATTGAGACCTCCTGAAAAAGGAAAATAAACGAGGACGCTGCCGTCAGGTACAGCTCTCATGGTTCAGAGTATCAGACCATCAGAGGAAGACCTGGATCATGCTTTTCTTGTTTGATACATTCTTGTCGCATCCTTCAACGACACAGGTCTTGAACGGATTAGTGCTGACCGGCCTTTCTTTGCCCTTTGCAGTACGTTTAGCCGCACGATTCGTGGTGCATTCTCCACAGTAGACCTGCCTGTGTTAGTTGCAAGCCCCAACATAAGTAAATTGGACTTACATGACCGCAGCCTTTGACAATCCACACCTGTCTTTTGATCTCATCGCTACCCACACATAGCTCTTCTTCGCAATTTGGGCAGATGAGTGCACCTTCCTCTTCAGGGTTCCTTGTGAAACCCTCAGGTGCTTGAGGTGGCGCCTCGTAGGTAGGTGGAGGTGCTGGTGCTTCGCGTGCTGCTTGTCCATAGTTGAACCCAGTGCCCTCAAAGTCCATGACAGGTGCAATGAAGCCCAACCGGATATGGGTATGGCCTCGGGATGGATTCCGGTGGGGAGCAACAGGCTCATGGAAGCGGCCTGCGGTGCGGTTGATCTGGGCATTGAAACGATCGACTTGAGCCCGAAGATGTGTGAAGCGACCGTTGAGTGTACCGAAAAGATCCAAGACATTGTCGAGCTCCCGAGTCCTGCGCCGTCGGATTTCGGCTTCTGGCAGAGCGTTTTCTCGCAAAAACTCGACCTCGTCCCCGTCCGAGTTATTGCCAGCAAGATTCGGTGGTGGAAGGCGTCTGGGATTGATCGTCCGGGAAGAAATGAATTCAATATCAGGGGAACTTGGTTCAGGAGCTGGTGTAGCCATTCTCCACTCTTCTTCACCATTGTCGAGGTCAATTATGATGTCCATGCCCCGCGGTAAGCGGGGCCCTCCATTTGCACGAGCACGGTTCGGGTCTTGCTGCTCAACGTGATCGTGTTGTTGCCGGCCGCTGTTGCCATCCTGACTGGCTCCGTACCCAGAGTCGTCGGCGGTGAGATCGATGATAACATCGTCGTCGTCGTGGTTATCGTGGTCGCCGTTGTCGTCGTCTTGGTCAACCCTGCTCAAATCCGGACCCACATCCTCATCCTCTTCCCCTGTTAGGTCAACAGATCCAACATCAGGCTCCCTTGATGATCCAGCTGGCCGTCGGTAGTCGAAGCCGTCTCCGGGGAAGCGCACTGAAGCCGAAGAAGCCATGCTTTCCATCCTGGGAAGGTGGAGTCCCGCCGGGCGTGATTGCGTGGCGGTGGATGACGAGGCGCGTTCTATAGGAGGTCGGGCTGCGCGCAGGGCAGACTCAAAGGCAGGCGCTCTTCTGGGTTGCTGGAAGTGGTGATGGTGGGCGTGTGGGTCCTCGTAGTTATTGTGGGCGGCGTCCTGAGCGTGGTCATAGTAGGCGGGGCGTGGGAGGTGGTGGTCGATGAGCGGGAGGCCCGAGGGGTAGCGCGGCTGAGTTTGGTGAGGGTGGATGTCCGGGAAGGGGTTGTATCTCCACGCAGGTGAGGCCGAGCCCTCATCGTCGTCGTCGTCCATTTGTTCATGGGAGCGCTGGACCGAGTCTTTGTTAGCGTCGCTGTGCTCGGCCGCCGCAAGCTTCGCCCGTTGGGCCGGCACTCACCTTCTCTCGTCTGTGCGTGTACCCAAACGGCAGCTCTTCCCCTTCCATGCCGGCGACGGGCTGTGTGGCGTGGCGTAGGGAGTCGTGAATGTGCGGGGTACCTGGCGAGAAGAGCAGCCAGCAGAGAGTGGACGGCGTCGAGTTGGGCGGGCCGTCGTGTCGTAGCGCTGGTGTGCTAATGTCGGCGAAACTCGTTGTCCCTGGTGGCAACCATTGCATGGCGCTTCGGGAGCAACCCGACATAACAAACGTCACCCCCTTCTCTCACCCTCACCCTCACCACCGCCCCGGATCGAGATTCGACAAAGAAAAAAACAAACACAATCCCTCCATCATGTTCCACCGCCTTCCATTCATCTGAGCGCATTAGTCGCCATTGCGGCATTCAATTCGCGTTGCCCATGCGCAACAGCATTCATTCGAACGAAACGTGACGTAGTGATACTCGTGCTCATAGTCAGCAACACGCCGGAAATGCCTTCTTGATTGCTAAGCTGAGGCAAGCAGACCTCACATTTGCATTATCACTACAACCCAGTTTGCGCCTTAATGTTTTTCTTTTGACCAGGAACATGGTCGCCCCGACGCTGGCCGCCTTCGTTGATGCTTCAACCATTCTAAGCCAACCGGCACTCTTCCACAACCTACTGAAGCAGTTCAGCCCAAAGGTCTCTGACATTTGCTTACGATTCCTCGGCTTTTCATCCGTTGCACTTGTTGCTCTCAACCAACATGTCTTTCCAAAAATAGCGCTCCAGTTGTCTGTGAGCTTATAGTATTACAAGTTCAATCAGTGCTGCGTCCTAGCCTAAGGAGCAGCCAATACCGCCAAGCCACCCTCTGGTGTCAGAGCCACCACGCTCTCGGCCTTTCCACTCCATGTAACATCCTTGGCTGGCAGTGCCTTCCTCACAAGTTCGGCCCAGCTCTTGGTTGCCTTTGTGAACTGCTGCACCGACACGCTACCAGTGCCACCAATCGCCAGATACATGCCGCTGTAGTCCCATTCACAGCACGTGACTGGGCTTCCGGACTCGAGTGTGTAAATGACTGCTTGCTTCCGGATATCCCAAACAGAGACGCTGGTAGAGCCTTGCTGTGCAACAGCGAACCAAGTGCCATTTTCAGCAAACTTGAGGTCCACGATCGGGCCACCTGTTTCTAGCTGGGCCATAGCAGCGCCAGTCTTAATGTCGTAGATGCGGATGTTGCCATCGGAGCTGCCGACAAAGAAGAGCATACCGTCGACGTGGAATGCAACGCAGGTAATCTCCGCTTCGACGTACACCTGGGACACAGTCTTGAAAGAAGTAAGCTCGTGGACAGCATAGTGCTTGTCCGCGCCCGCTGTTGCGAGCATTTTTCCGCTGGGGTGGACGGAAATGGACGTAACAGCTCCAGCATGCGATGCTACTTGAGCAACCTCGTTACCCTGCTCGAAAATCTTGGCCACACCAGCCGATGTTCCAACAACTGCACGGCCTCCACACCAAGCTGCTGCTGTGATGGCGCTACCAGCGTTGAAGGTCTGTGTAACCTTGCCCTCGGCCAGCGCATAGATGCCAGCTGTCCCGTCTGATCCACCAAACAAGACCAGACCGTCTTCTTGTACAGCAATGTTGCTGCTACCTGGGTATATAGCCTCTGTTGTCTTGACCAGGTCGTAGTTGGTGATGACTTCACCGGTGGCCCAGCCTGCTGGTACAGCTCGTTTTCGGCGCGAACCAAACAATCTGTGTCCTGTTAGTATGTGTTGTCTAGATCGCATTACTAGGTACCTACTCTTGCTGTGTGTCGTCAACCACCTTGATCAGATCCTGAGGCAGGCCCTGGTTATCGACTTGCATGGCATCGCCCTGGGCGCCTCCGCTGATGGTGACATTTGACAAAGCCTCGCGCGCTTCGTCCCGCTCTTTTGTTATCCGTGCAATTACCCGTGTGGCGGCGTCATTCTGGTACAGGGCGGTGCTCAGCTCTTGCCTCGTTTGCGCCAGGTGCTGCTTGAGCGTATGTGTCTCTAGTACCAGGGCGTCCCATTCATTTTGGAAGGCACTGAGCATGGCAGGTATCGAGGTAAAGTTGGGCGCGCGTGGAGTCACGACATTGGGCGACTTGAGCTCGATGAGGTCCTCGGTCGCCAGGTCTTCTCCCGTAACCGGGTCGGTGTGGTGTTCTGCAATGTGCGCTTCAATCAGACGCTTCTCGAAGATATTGCCCGACTTGCGCGAGGCAACAGGCTCGCGGGGAGCTTCTCCAGAGATTGCACAGAGCATGTTGACGTGTTGTTGGTATTTGTGATACTGAGGCTGGATACTTGGTCGCGTTTGAACTTTTCCCATGATAGGATGCGCGCGCTAGTTTGTTGGTACCTAGCAATGTGGACCGTGCGAGTCCTCCGCAAACCATCACCACTGTGTGTGTATTCATCTCATGTTATCCAACTTGCAGTTTTTCTTTTCCGAAAGATTTTTTTCCAAGATTTACTGTTGCTCATGGAGAAATGAGCCCAGTGAATTCAGATTGAAGCAAAATCTGTTACTCCAACCTTGGAGTCTACGCCAAAAGCACAGCAACCTCGGACGTGTGTTGTATCAGAGCACATACATACTTGCAGCATGCAGCATAACAGAACCACAAACCATATTTTGAGAATGTTGTTGTGCATTCAAATCAAGATACTCGCACCTTGCCAACTCAATTCTTGGGGTACGTTGAGCCAAGACATGTAGCCGCTCAGCTGCCATCAATCACATGCTCCAGCTGTCCAAGCTCAAGGAAAAATAAGTTTATGGTAACTAAAGCAACTCCTTCAAAGTAGCAGGTGCTTCTTCCGTACTGCATCCGACCCGTTTGCCGTGTTTTTGTAACGAGGCATGTCGGCACCGGATACTCTATACCAACCCCGGCCCGACAGACGGCCAATCACTGTGCATGCGGGCCGAGATGCGTCCAACCGGATTGCTCCATCAACGCCCACTTTTCGCGTGCCACTTGACGTCGACCTAGACGATCTAATCTTCTCCGTCCCTACCCCGGAATCCACAGCCTCGTGCATATCATTACACATGCGAGCCCTAAGTGGTATTCTTCCCGGGTAAACAAGCTACTCTGGCGCGCGTCTCCCAGCCTTTCCATGCCGGCATGTTGCTTCTTTGGCGATGGCATCGTCGCCAAGCCCACCATCCTCACACCCTAACCATGACGGTATTGCGGGGAAGCGCGTCTTGGTTGCATCTCGAGCGGCTGTAGCCATACATTCGAGGCTTTTTAACCGAGATCACAATACTTGGATTGCTGCCGTAGTACTTTGACTAGTAAAAATCATGGCACTGCCTCAGGTATAAGAGGCGCCTGACGTCCTCCAGAGATCAGCATCCACACCGGTTTCTGTCTTTCTCAATACCATCAGGCACCATGGTAACCAAAGGGCTTCTCGCCCTCGGATCGGCAATTCCTGCCCTTGCAGGCTCCCTTGTCCCACGTCAAAGCACGCCTCTCGACGACTGTCCTGGCTACGCAGTCAGTAACGTCCAGAACGATGGCTCCCGGGTTACTGCAGATCTTACCCTTGCCGGCACTGCTTGCAATGCTTACGGCGAAGATCTCACTGATCTCAAGCTCGAGGTTGAGTATCAGACTGGTCTGTCATAAACCCATCTTGGCCCCATTGGCATTATACTAATTCTCATCAACAGAGGATCGCCTTCACGTGAAGATCTACGACGCGGCTGAACAGGTCTTTCAGATCCAGGAATCCGTCTGGCCTCGCCCTGCTGATGACGAGGGCACCGACCCTGAAAAGTCGGCTTTGACCTTCACTTGGACCGATAGCCCGTTTTCTTTTGCCATTAAACGTAGGGCCACCAATGAGACGCTCTTCGATACTTCGGCAGCTTCTCTTGTTTTCGAGACGCAGTACCTTCGCTTAAGAACCGCTCTACCACCTTTGCCAAACCTGTACGGTCTTGGTGAATCAACGGATGCTTTCCATCTCAACACCACCAACTATACGCGAACTGTAAGTCTCTGCCTCTCTGCTATCATGAACACGGTACTCATTTGGATAGCTTTGGAATCGAGATGCCTATGGCACGCCACCAGGATCCAACCTCTACGGAGCTCACCCGATCTACTTTGATCACCGCGGTGAGAATGGTACTCACGGTGTTTTCTTGGCTAGCTCTGAGGGTATGGACATCAAGATTGATGATACTGACGGTCAGTTCCTTGAGTACAACACTCTCGGTGGTGTTCTTGACTTCTACTTCCTTGCTGGACCCGGCCCTAAGGAAGTTGCAACTCAATACTCAGCCCTTTCTGGCTTGCCTGCTATGATGCCTTACTGGGGTTTCGGCTCACACCAATGCAAGTATGGCTACCGTGATGTTTGGGAGGTTGCCGAGGTTGTAGCAAACTACTCTGCTGCTGATATCCCACTTGAGGTAAGATTCTACAGTCTGAAAATAGTAGCCTTGTTGTGCTAACTTTTCTAGACCATGTGGACCGATATCGACTACATGGAGCTTCGCCGCTTGTTCACCCTGGATCCCGAGCGTTACCCGCTTGAGCTTGTTCGCCAGCTTGTAGACTATTTGCATGCTCACCAACAGCACTACATTCTGATGGTCAACTCCGCTGTCTGGAGCGGTGACTATGATGCCTACAACAACGGTGCAAAGCTTGAAGTCTTCCAGAAGAAGAGCAACGGCTCCTTCGAACAGGGTGCTGTCTGGCCAGGCCCTACTGTCTTTCCAGATTGGTTCCATCCCAACACCCAGAAATACTGGGATGAGGAATTCGCTCGCTTCTTCGACCCCGCTACTGGTGTTGATATCGATGGACTTTGGAATGACATGAATGAACCCGCCAACTTCTGCCCATACCCCTGCTCAGACCCTGAAGGTAAGCTCTGTCTTCTATTGATTAGATTGACATACTAATAATATAATAGCCTATTCTGAGGAGTCCAAGAACCCACCCGAGCCACCGGCGGTGCGCACTTCTGCAGGTCGCCAAATCCCTGGCTTCCCAGCAGGTTTCCAGCCACAGTCTAACTCTAGCACTGCAAGGCGTTCTGTTGTAAAGGGACCATCTAGCATGCGTCCTTCCAAGCGCCAAGCGCCTAACAGCGCTGGAGATGCTAAGCACCTCGGTCTTCCCGGTCGTGATCTGATCAACCCCAAGTACCAGATCCACAACGAAGCCGGTTCAATCAGCAACAGGACCCTGGCTACGGATATCAAGAATTACGATGGCTCTTATCACTACGATACGCACAACTTCTGGGGCTCGATGATGAGCATTACCTCTCACAAGTCTATGCAAGCTCGCCGTCCCGAAAGACGGCCATTCATTATCACTAGGTCATCTGTAAGTATAATACGTTCTCCCCACTAGAACTCAGAATGCTGATTTTTGAATAGTTCCCTGGCCTCGGTTCTTATCTCGGAAAGTGGCTTGGTGACAACGTCTCCGAGTGGGCACAATACCGCTTCTCGATTGCCGGCATCTTGAACTTCAACACCATCTTCCAGATCCCCATGGTCGGTCCAGATATTTGCGGTTTCGCCGGAAACACGACCGAGACTCTCTGCGCCCGCTGGACCACTCTTGGTGCTTTCTACCCGTTCATGAGGAACCACGCCGGCGACACTTCCATCAGCCAAGAATACTATCGCTGGCCTCTCACCAGGGCCGCAGCCAAGAACGCCATCGCAGTCAGGTACAGGCTCTTGGACTACTTCTACACGGCCTTCCACCGCCAGGCCACCACCGGTCTACCCAGCTTGAACCCCCTCTTCTTCCACTACCCCACCGACGCCAAAACCTTCGGCATTGAGCACCAGTTCTTCTACGGAGACAGCATCCTCGTCTCGCCCGTCCTCGAAGAAAACTCCACCTCAGTCTCCATCTACCTCCCCAAAGATGTCTTCTACGACTACTGGACCGGCGAGCGCATCCAAGGAAACGGCGAGAACATTAACCTCACTGACGTAGGATTCGACACCATCCCCCTCCACGTCAAAGGTGGATCCATCCTCCCTCTCCGCGCCGAATCCGCAAACACAACCACCGAGCTCCGCAAACAAAACTTTGTCCTCTGGATCGCACCAAATGCTACCAACCAAGCCTCTGGCTCGCTCTACCTCGATGATGGAGATTCCCTCGAGCAGAAGTCTACTTCGCTCATTAACTTCTCCTTCAACAACGGCGCCTTCAGCATGAGCGGCGATTTCGGATTCGAGACTGAGCTTGTCATTCAGAATATCACCATCCTGGGTACCTCGCAGAGCGTACAGGGCCCTGTTGCGCTTACCAAGGGCTGGGAACATAACTTTGGGGCTGGTGCTGGTATGCCGCAGTTTGATAGTGGTGCAGCCGAGTCGCGTCGAGTTGTTGCTGCAGTTTGGGGTTTGGTTGCGGGGGCTGTCAGTGTTTGGTTCAGCTTGTAAGGCTGACTGGATATAAAAAGTTTGAATATGAAGGGATTCAATGGTTAGTAGGAGATTTTTGATGGCTCTTTAGTCAACGAAGCATGTTTCCATATGTATAATTCATCTACAAAGTTTTGTCAATCAAAACGCTTTTTTTTTTGTTGTTCGTTACAGTCTTAACTTGATAAAAGTACTGCCTGCCACACTTGAGACTTTGAGCTTTGGTCATAATCACTGCGGTCTCTTCCCCTGCACTGGTACCGCTGTACGCGTAACTCAAGAAAAAAAATAAACTAGAAAACGCAGTGCTGCTAATGTCAAGCTTCATTCACATTATACCAGTTATTCCACCATATACAAAGCATTGCCCACATTCAACCGCTTTTAGACAGTAGCCCCAGCTGTCACGTGTTCAAAACTCTCGCCTTTGTTTTCATTTCCAAGTCAGGTCCGCATGGTTCTCAGCATTAGTAACAGCATATGGCTGTCGGCTTCCTTCCTCCGACTTCAAGCTTGGTGCTTTTTTTTTCGAGATATTAATGACGGGATTGACGATGCTAGATCCTTCACCGCTGGAGGTGTTGTGTAAGTAGTTATGCAGGGTCACGCTTACGCATTTGTGTTTTCTTTTCTTTTATTGCTTTGACGTTTACTTTTGTTGATTCCGGTTTTTTTACTTGTTTGGTTGTTTTTTGTGTGGAGGGCGACGCGGTGGGCAGACAGCGGCAGAGTGGGTGCATATGATTGATTTATGTTACGTTTGTAGATCGAGTTTCGTACCCGGCCGCGATGGAGGTATGGGGGTTGTACTTTGTTTTTGTTGAATTTGACTACTGGGTGGGTTTACTGATGATGGTGTGTGGGGAATGCGGGTAGGGGTAGAGGTTTTTGTTCTTTTTGGAAACTATGACTCTTGGTAAGCTGAGAGGTGACGAATTTTCAGAAAAATGGGTGAACAGGTGGCTGCCAATGTGTAGATACAAGTGAAGTGATAAGCGTGTGATTTTAGAAATTCTGACTGGTATTATAGCGTCCAACGTTGTTGTGTGAGCTGGCATTTCTATCTTCCTAGTGGCGTTGGGATGTCACTTGAATTTAGCAACGTCTACATACGCATGATACGACCCTATTGAGCGGAAAGAATTGGCTCGTTATGATTGTCGGAATGAGTCGGTGTGGTAGTTGCAGAGTCATGTCTTTGATAGATTTGGATAATCGTAATGAGACTGTCGATGCACAAAGGGTTCACCAGGGTACTCGTGTCACCAAGAGACTCATATTGGCCCTCCCAGATCTTCCTCAATAGACGTCGCATAATCTTCCCTGACCTGGTACGAGGTAGATCATCGACCACAATGACATGGGCCGGAACAGCGAATTTGCCAATGCTTTGCTGCACCTTGACGCGAGCCTCCTTCGGAAAATCGGTAGCTTCATCCGACAGTTTTGTGCTCACAAATGCAGCTACAGCCTGCCCGGTAAGATCGTCTGGGACTCCAATGACAGCCACTTCCGCAAAGAGTGGGTGCTCCAACAATGCACCTTCAATCTCTGCAGTGCTCAGGCGATGAGCAGACACATTGATGACATCGTCAGTTCGACCTTGAATCCAGTAATAACCATCTGAATCGCGAATGGCTTTATCGCCTGTGAAGTAATATCCCGGGTACGGTTTGTAATAGACCGAAGCAAATCGAGCATGGTCACCCCAAATTGAACGGCACATTGACGGTGTAGGTTTGCGGATCGCCAAGATACCTTCTGACCCATCAGGAAGCTCATTGCCGGCGGGATCCAAGATAGCAGCTTCGACTCCTAGGAAAGGAAGACAACAGCATCCGGGCTTCGATGGAACAACCCCAGCAAGAGCGGATAGCACGTGCGATCCGGTTTCTGTCTGAAAATAGTTGTCCACCACCTGCGCTTCACCTCTCCCCACCACTTCGTTAAGCCATTTCCAGATATTCGCTGCCAGAGGCTCCCCCACTGACCCAAGTACACGTAAATGTGCCGTCATATCGTGATTCACGTACTGATCTCCGCCTCGCTTGAGTAGCCTCAGTGCTGTCGGGGCAGTGTAGAATTGAGTGACGCGATGTTTCATAATGATATCCCAATATCGAGATAGATTGGGGTATGCAGGCGTTCCTTCGAATATGACAGTAGTACAGCCAAGCGAGAGTGGGCCATAGATTCCATATGTGTGTCCTGTGATCCAGCCAATGTCTCCGCCACAGAAAAAGACGTCGCCGTCCTGGATGTCGAATATGTGTTTGGTAGTCAATGCCGCACCCAAAAGATAGCCAGCAGTAGAGTGGAGCAAACCCTTTGGTTTACCGGTCGATCCAGATGTGTACAGCATGAACAGAGGGTCCTCACTATTCATGGACTCTGGCGGGAAATAAGGTGACCATTTCGAGCACTCCTCTTGCCAGATGCGATCTCGCGGGCGAAGTTGATCAGAATCCTCCGAACGTTTGACAAACAAGCAGTGGCGCACCTCAGGGCACCCCTCAATTGCTTCATCAGCAATCTTTTTTTAGATCAATGCACTTGCCGCCACGGAATCCTTTATCCGCAGTCACAACAACTTTTGCCTTTGCGTCCTGTATACGGTCTTTCAGTGCGTTCGCTGAGAATCCTGCAAAGACAACACTATGAATGGCTCCGATTCGAGAGCAGGCAAGAAGCGTGATGAAAGCCTCTGGGATCATGGGCATGTAGATCGCGACGGTATCGCCTTTTCGAATTCCAAGATCCTTCAGCACCCATGCTGCCCTGGAGACTTCTTGTCGGAGTTCTACGAAAGAAATGGTGCGCTGTAGTGGGCTGTCGGGCTCATCGGGCTCGTAAATGATGGCAGGGTAATTGGGTTTCTCACGTGCCCAGCGATCAACACAATTGGAAGAAGCGTTCAAACGACCGTTGATGAACCATGCATTGTCTTCGCCCTCAAATGTTCCCTGACGAATGGAATCGAATGGCTTGTCCCATTCAAGCAATTCCTCGGCAGTTTTATGCCAGAACGATTCAGGATCACGAATTGAAATCTGGTATGTTTCCAGATACTGCTCAAATGCTGAAAAGTTGTGAAATGATGGTTTGCCATTTCCTTTCCTGTAATGCCGGGTTAGGTATTCGAGCTATCGCATCATACATGCTAGCTGACTTACATAAAGTAATTGGATGGTATCGGGACGGTAGAAGGAAACATAATGTCGCGTACAGGATCTGTAATTTCAGCAAGATATTTGGAATGTTATGATAATAGAGAGTGAGATTCGGTGTGATTGTCAAACAACCTCTGGTTTTATACAGCTGATCTAGTAGCCCACTCTTTTGCAGTCTTCGAATTTTAGCGAACCACAATAAGAAGCATCCCCAATAGCACTTGGCCCCAATGCAAGTCCGCAAAAGCAACCTACGGTATCTCTCCACAGTTGAGGTTGTTGACGCGAATAATTGCTATTGAAAATCAATTTGATAATGGAACGGAAATTATCGCTGAGACTGAACCACTCACATACGTCTTCACAAGTACCGATGTAAATCGGTGACATGTCATTGTCGATCTCTTTCCAAGACTCGGCTAGTATACATGTTTCTCTCGTGTGTTGCATAGTTTTCTTTCATCCCTTTGCTTGCTCACGGAACTTCCCGTTCAATAAGAAAAGCAAAGAGAATACTCATTGTTTGATATTCACACCGATGTGAGACACAATCCCATTGGACCACGAATGTGTTGCATTACACATAGGTCCCAACGTACTGTGATATGTTTAGATTGGAGAGTGTGCTTTGCAACAGTGGACAGTCATTTTTGTATTGAATCTTCCCTCTCTATTTAAACTTCAAGTACGATAACGATTCATCTCTACACCTTGCGAAGCCGTATTCGACTCTGACCTATCACCATGGCTCCCGCCACTGCCGATAACCTTGCTGTACTAGGATCTGGAGATATTTTGAATCAGAATATTGTTGAAGTGGTTCCCTGCTCACCTTTACAGGAGGGAATACTCCTCAGCCCGTCGTCATATGCTGTATATTGGGTGTGGACCTGCATCCCACTTGTCGGCGCCTGCGTCGATTCCGACAAACTAGAGACTGCCTGGAGAGCAGCCGCGTTAGAGCATTCGATTTACGCAACCATCTTTGCCTCAGACAACACCGGTGAAGGCTTCTTGCAAGTTGTTCTTCGCAATCCAACCTTCTCTATCCAGCAAATCACGACCAAAAATGGAAATATGACCGCCGCTCATGTCCTCGCCATGCGTCCTCGTCCAAAGTGGACCAAAGCCAGTCCGAGGCACACGCTGACCATTTGCACAAACGTGGCTACCGGGCAGGTGGCTTGTCGGTTTGACATATGCCACACGCTTTACGACGTCTATTCGCTGCGCATCCTTCTCAAAGATGTTGTATCTATGTACCATGGCCGGGATATCACAAAGCCAGCACCGTTCGCTGATGTGGTCCGTTACATAGAAAGCAGAACAGAAGACCAGACTAGCGGCTTTTGGTCCGAATATCTAAAGGGATCAAAATCATGTCGTTTCCCAACATTGTCCCTCAACGAGACGTCCAACGCTATACAAGATGAACACGGCGCCATTCGCGTTCCCTCAAAACCATTCGACGCTGCTACAACGTTCTGTTCTAAACATGGAATTACTCGATCCGTCTTCATGCATATCGCCTGGGCCCTAGTCTTGTCTCATTTCAACGGGGGATATGATATGTCCTTTGGATACATGGGTTCGGGTAGGGATGCACCCGTGGATGGAATCGACCATATCTGTGGTCCCATGGCGAACCTGTTGATAAGCAGAGTTGACCTTGCATCTCCGCTTCAGTCCCTGTTGCGAAGTATAGCTCAAAATCTCAAGGAACACCGACGCCATCAGCAAACGTATTTTGCCCCTATTTTCCATAAGCTCGGCCTTGGGGGTGAACCTCTATTCAACACAATGATCAATCTCCTACGAGCGGAAAAGGAAGAGTGTCAAACGGATACTCTGGCTTTTGAAAAGGAAGTTTTGATCAGTCCGCATGAGGTAAAGTCATCAAAACTGTTCGAGATCATATGTGTTATACTGACAATCATTGAAAGTTCGATCTTGTTCTGGAAGGCCACCTTCATCCAGAGACCATTGCAATCACGCTTTACTATCGTCACGGCAACATCTCGCGTGATGTGGCGGAAGAAGCTTGCACTGTTTTGTGCCGGGCTACTGGTTTTCTCATCGAATCGGCAACTCAATCGGATCTAGTGAAAGGTCCTGCTGGTGGCACAGAGAGCCCAGTCTCACTCCCAAAAGGTTTCTGCAAGTATATAACAGGTCATGATTCACCCAACACCAAGGAATTTTGGAGACACTATTTGGATGGCATCGAGAATATGAGTAGCAAGACAGAGCGATACAAGGGCTCGGAGCGTCCAAAACAGTATGAAGTTATTCTTGACACGCCAATTGAGTCAGGGCACGATTTCACTTTGGAATCTCTAGCACAGGTAGCATGGGCAATTTTCTTGACTGAAGAATATGAGTCCAATGAAGTGTTCTTCGGCACAAATTTTGACAGCAACCGATCAAAGCTACGCCATTTTACGGGACTGGAGGAACGGCACGCGACCCTCATGCCGTGCAAGTTCGAAGTGCCTCCACAAGCCACCGTACGAGAACTACTAGAAGGGTTTCAGCGACTAAAAGATCTTCTTGTAGCGAATAAGTCCCCAGGCTTGCATTGGTTAAGGCAGGTCAATCCAGCCGTAGACCGTTTCACCACCGCCATCACTTGCCAAGATGACAGCTTGTGCGACATTGGGTCAATGGAAACAGTTGTTCGTTTGGAATCATGTCCAGGAAATCAGGTGTTACATTTGACATCCTACAAGAACACTCCTCTCCAACGTATAGCTCGTCGCTTCGTTCACATTTTGCGTCAGCTCTGCCGTAAGGATAGCTTGGATATTGCTTGGAGCACATTCGTCGGAATCTGCGAAGAAGATATCGAAGAGATACATTCGTGGAACTCCATAGCATATCCGACGAGTACTCAAACTGTACATGGCCTTTTCGACATTCAGCTACGAAAGCGTCCCGAAGTCATGGCTGTTTGTGCTTGGGATGGAAGCCTCACATATAGTCAATTGGACAAATACTCGACCTTGCTTGCCTTTCATCTCCTGGACCAAGGCATTCAGCCAGGCTCTATTGTGGCTTTATGTTTTGAGAAATCAATGCTCATGCCCATCTCGATGCTAGCTGTGGCGAAGGCTGGGATCACCGGGTTGGGCATCGATCCAGATCAACCTGAGGGTCGTTTAGCACAAGTTGTGACCGAATCTAAAGCGGCAGCGTTATTATGCTCCTTGAGACATCACGAGTTGAGCAGTCGTCTTGGAGCAAAAAAGGCGCTACCACTAGGCCTCGATGATTTATCTTTGATGCAATTAGATGATACGCGGAGTTTACCAACGGTCAAGTCTTCTGATATCTTGTACGCCGTCTTCACCTCAGGCAGTACCGGTAAACCTAAGGGTGTATTGGTGAGCCATGGAAGCTACAGTGCTGCTGCTATCTGCCAACATGAGCCTTTTGGGTTTAGTCAGGAGGCCAGAGTGCTAGATTTCTCCTCGTACGCTTTTGACGCTGCGTGGTTCAATCTGATGCACACAATCACCAGTGGAGGCTGCCTCTGTGTCCCATCAACCGACGATTTACGCAATCACCTTGGAGGCTGCATCCTACAATTCGGTGTCACCTTTGCCTTTCTTACTCCCACAGTTTGCAGAGGAATCGAACGCAAAGCACTAATACACTTGAAGCGACTCTTACTTGGAGGAGAGATGATTGTTCCGTCGGACATTGCTTTGTTTGCTGACAATTGCATCATCACTCTTGTTTACGGGCCATCTGAGTGTACACCCATGACCATGTTCCACAACCCAGAGAATTCTGTAGATATTGCACTTGGCCACGGAATGGGCACCAAGACATGGGTCGTCAATCCAGATAATGTGCACCAGCTATGTCCTATTGGAACGATTGGCGAACTATGCCTTGAGGGACCTCTTCTTGGAGCCGGTTATCTTGAGGATAAACTCAAAACAGAACAAGCTTTCATCAGAGATCTTTCATGGCATCGAGATCCGCAGGCTCAGATCTATCGGACGGGAGATCTGGTAAAGTACATTGGGGATGATCTCGGGACTTTGGTATATGTCCGCCGTAAAGATACGCAGGTGAAGTTGAGAGGGCAACGCGTGGAACTGGGAGAAATTGAACAGCATGTGCATCAAGCCATAATGTTCGGCACGCCAGACCATCTAGAGCAACCAAATTTAAATATAGTTGCTGAGGTTGTCCATGCTGAGGAGACAGAAAACGCCGTGTTGGTAACTTTTGTATCGCTGAGGACCAATGCCAACCAGAGCGAAGCTGACCACCAGAAAACTATCAGGCAATTGACTGTGGGAATTTCTGACCGTCTTGAACAAGTATTACCGTCATACATGGTCCCGACAAGCTATATCCCGCTATCTTCGATCCCAACCACCATTACTGGGAAAACAGACAGGGTGCGTTTGCAGGCGATGGGAGCCCGTTGCTGGCGGAAATTCACGGTCCAGGACAACCATGATGAGATTGAATCAACCGTTTCAAAAAATCCAACAGAAAGAATGCTTCAGAAAGTCTGGTCGGAGGTATTGAACTTGCCTCTCAGAAAAGTATCGACGACGAAAAGATTCACCAGTCTTGGAGGAGACTCTATCACGGCCATGCAGGTGGTCTCTCAATGTCGAAAGCAAGGTGTAGCTCTTACAGTAGCCGACATTCTCTCGGCTCGAACAATATAGAGGCTCTCTCTCCGATGCTGTGTACTACCTTCATCACAACAAAGTTCCCTCCAAGATGACAGCGAGGTCGTAGCCGAAGATGAAAAGGATGGAGAACCCTTTGGGCTATCACCAATCCAACAAAGATACTTTCAGATGTTTCCAGATGGCGAGAATCATTTCAACCAATGCTTCATGCTTGAACTGGTAACAGATGTTTCCCAGCACGATCTACAATAGGCGTTGAGAGCCATCATTGACCGCCACTCTATGCTACGTGCGAGGTACCACAGGTCATCGCAAGGTTTGTGGAGCCAACATATCGCACCCCTGGGACCATGGAATATGATAGAACATGCCGTTTCAAAGCCTTCAGAGGCGTTTAATATGGCAAAAGAGCTGCAGAAGCAGCTGAACATCGTCAACGGTCCAGTCTTCTTAGCGGTCCACTTCACCGTGACGAATCATCGACCTTTGCTATTATTGTCTGCCCATCATCTTGTCATTGATCTTGTGTCATGGCGAGTTATATGGAGAGACTTGGAAGATTTTATCAGGAACAAATGCTTGCTGTCGGCCAGAGGCATTTCATTCCGCAGATGGTGTAAAGAGCAACATCGAGAGTCTTGCAATCTTATGCCCGACACAGTCTTGCCTTTTGCGGTACCACCTTATGATACTTCGTTTTGGGGGTGCGCATCTAAAGATCAAGTGCGAGGCAATGCTATCGATAGTACCATGATACTAGACAGAGACAGCAGTCAGTTGCTCATGGGCCATAGCAATGATACGATGCGGACCGAGCCACTCGACATTATACTTGGCGCTTTGGCACACTCCTTTGGTCAGTCGTTCCCAGAGCATAAGATGCCTACAGTTTTTCTGGAAGGACATGGAAGGGAACCTCTTGGTATTCGGAGAATTGATTGTCGCGACACTGTAGGCTGGTTCACCGTAATTTATCCTCTTCCTCTTCCCACAAAACCAAACGACAACGTGGTCGATGCAGTATGCCTAGCAAAAGACACAAGACGACGTGTTCCTAGTAAGGGACAAGAATACTTTGCAAGTCGTTTCTACAGTGAAACGTGCAGAGATGCGTTCAAAGAGCACGACGCTATCGAAATTCTGGTCAACTTCGCAGGTTCGTACCAGCAACTCGAGAATGATGGCGGTTTATTCAAGCTGGTACCTCCCCCCTCAAACGAGGAAGGCATGGGAACGGTCGCAAAGGGTTCGCCTCGACTTGCTTTGATCGAGCTAGAAATGTTAGTTCGAAACGGTAAACTGGAGCTCACCATGTCCCTCAACAAACACATGCTTCATCGAGACCGTTTGAGCATATGGCAAGGGCGGTTCCTAAAAACTATACGAGATGCAGCAACGGCATTGAACTGCGTCCCAGCCAGAATTACCCGGGCCGATGTTCCTCTACTCTCTCTTTCTGATGCCGCGTTGCGGTACTTCAACGATATACAGCTTCCAGCCATGGCTATATCACCAAAGGACATCATAGATGCTTACCCAGCATCTCCACTCCAGGAAGGCATCTCGCTGAGTGCATATCAAGGCCTTAGCACTTACGATACATTCTGGATCTGGAAATGTCTCCCTCGAAATGGAGAAGAAAAAGTGGATATGGCTCAGCTTGCTGAAGCCTGGCGCTCTGTAGTCCGAAAGCACTCCATCCTCTGTACTGTTATGGTTCCAGATCCGAGCGGAGAAGGGCTCATTCAATTGGTTCTCTCGGAACCCGAGATCAAAGTCATCTGCTTGGAGATCCATGGACAGGATCCCGAAGACGTTCTTTATCAACTCCAACGTCCGCTGTGGACTTCCCAGGGTTCACCACGACATTGCTTCACGGTTTACCAGTCCGGAGTGAAGACTGCTTTTCGTCTGGATATTAACCATGCACTTATCGATGGAGGATCTCTTATGCCTCTGATCCAGGACTTGCGGATGGCTTATAATGGTTTTCACTCTATCGCAGCGCCGCCATTTGGAGAGATGATCAGGTATCTTTCGCAATCGAACCACCAGGAAAAGATTGACTGGTGGGGAAATTATCTGCACAAAACCAAACCATGCGAGGTCCTATCCATATTCAACCAACCAATCAAAGGTATCTCGCATGATAATGAGCGTTTCCGCTACGTCAAAATTCCCCAGAGCGCAACCGTTGGGGTGATTGGTTTTTGCCAGCGATTTGGAATCACGCGATCCGTATTTCTACAAGTAGTATGGGCTATGGTGCTCTCATACCTCACAGACGCACCAGATGTCTGTTTTGGATATCTCACATCTGGAAGAGACGCTCCCATCCAAGATGTGGATCGGATGATTGGCCCGTTGGCAAACATGTTGATTAGCAAAATCCAACTCAACCAGTCTGCTTCAGCAGTACTGCGACAGACTTCGGACGACTCCATTCAGCATCTATTGCACCAACACGTGTCCTTGGCTCAAGTCCAGCATGCCATGGGTCTCTCAGCGGGCCGTCGCTTGTTCAATACGGCGATGACCCTCAGGGAATCTGACCGGTTCGACGAAGACGACGCAAACGGAAAGATTAGCTTCGAATACCACGATCACCAGGACCCACATGAGTTTGATCTCCTTCTCAGTGCACGTGTCAATTCCAATGATCTTGACGTTTCCGTGCAACTGCCACAGGATCTCTTGGACAACGAGACGACAGACAAACTGACGTTTGCACTCACTTCAGCGATCGATGTCTTGATTTCTAGCGAAGTCTCTTATCGCCAGCATGCGCACATTAAGGAAAACGAAGAGACTTTGTTCACTAATTTCAAACGGATAATGACGATTTCAGCTCAAAAAAGAGACCTAGATCTCATATGGTCCTGGAACTGTCCTCTACCCGATTCCATCCAACGATGCGCCCACGACGAGATATACGCGGTTGCGCTTCAAAACTGGAACCAGCCTGCAGTGTGCGCATGGGATGGCGAAATTTCATACGGCGAGCTCGAACAAATGTCCACAAGAGTGGCTAACAATCTTCGCGAACAAGGCATTGGACGCGGCCACATTGTACCCATATGTTTTGAAAAGTCAATGTGGATGCCTGTTGCAGCATTGGGTGTAATGAAAGCTGGAGCGGCAGTCGTCGCTCTTGATATTACATTGCCAGTGCAACGCCTTCAGGTCATCACCAAGCAAGTTCAGAGCGACATTATTTTGGCATCGTTAGCACAAACAGACCTCGCAGGGCGTTTGGGCTTCGCAAAACTTCTTGTCCTTCCGAATCATGATGAACAACCCAAAGAGCCTGCACAGATAGACGGGGCTGTGGCATCATCGCCAGACGACCTCCTGTACATTGTTTTTACATCAGGGAGTACGGGTACTCCAAAAGGAACAATGCTGACACACTCCCATGTCTGCAGTATGCTGCATCACCAACGTGAAATCATTGGCCTCACTTCGGGGCGGCGAGTATACAATTTCGCCTCGTACGCCTTCGACGTAGCCTGGGACGACTTTTTCCACGCGCTAACCAGTGGCGGCTGCCTCTGCATACCCTCTGAAGAAGACCGGAAGAACAATATTGAAACATCCATGGCTATGTTACGCGCTAACTACGTCCATATCACACCTACAATTCTCCGGCATATCGATTGGAGCAAAGCCACAGGCATTTCCGTCGTCAATCTGAGCGGCGAACCAGTTGCGCCTTCCGATCGATCCATCCTCAGCCGCAAGACAAAAGTCGTTAATTTGTACGGCCCGGCTGAGACAAATGTTGTAACCGTTCAGGACCTCGACGAACTGACAACGCAAGAAGTGAGCATTGGCAAGGGTTACGGGGCCTCCACATGGATCGTCGACTTGAAAAACAGCGACATCCTGGCCCCGATTGGCGAGATCGGAGAGCTATGGATCGAAGGACCGCTTTCAGGCCTCGGATATCTCGCAGAAACTACTGAATTTCAAAAGGCGTCGTGGGTCAAGAACCCCATATGGCTCACTCGAGGCACTGAACGGTTTCCGGGCCGTCATGGGCAACTATACCGCACAGGCGACCTTGTTCGATATACCAAAGATGGGTCACTAATCTACTGCGGTCGAGCTGATCGCCAGGTCAAAATCAATGGACAGCGTGTCGAACTTGGTGAGATTGACGTCGCTTTGCAGGCGCTTGTAAAGAGGCTTGGACATGATTGGCACGTGGCTGTCGAGACTGTACAGTCCCTTGAGAGTGACGTCCAAGTCATCATGGCATTTGTTGCTCCCAGAAATGTATGTATTGATGAGAAACAGCTCGAAAATCACATAATGCAAGAAGCAAGCCTGCTCAGGGAGCAGTTACGTTCCGTTTTGCCGCAGTACATGGTTCCGAGAGCATTCGTTCCCTTGGCCGCGCTACCATTGACTGCAACCGGCAAAGTCAACTTGAGGAAGCTACAGGCCCATGGTTCGTCAAAATCGATTCGAGAGTGGGTGTCTGGCGAGAAGTCGTCAATCGAGATATGCCCAGCCGACACAGAGAGCGAAAAGGCAATGGTTCGCGTGTGCAGGGACGTTCTTCAGATGTCAAAGACTACAAGTATCAGTATGAACGACAACTTTTTTCGAATCGGGGGAGACTCAGTTCTCGCTATGCGACTTGTTAGCAAAGCAAGAGACATTGGCTACTCTCTGATAGTCAGGGACATCTTCAAACACCCGGTCATCAGAGACCTTGCAAAAGTGGCTAAGCCGCAGAAGTCTACTACCACCCATGAACTTGAGGTGGCTCCCCCCGTCGCAGACAAGCTGCTCGATGACGCCGAAATGCGAGGCCATGCTGCCTATACTTGCAATGTTACCGACGACCAGATTGTCGACATGTTACCTTGCACGCCGCTACAACGAAACCTGGCGTCCTGGGCCCGGCTTCATCCAAAAGGCCACTTCCGAACCACGCACCAGCTGGAGCTCAAGCAGCACACCGACATCCCAAAATTCAAGCAGTGTTGGGATATGGTGGTAGAACGGAATCCCATTACACGAACTCACATAGTAAACCTACCCAAACTCGGTTACACCCAAGTCATCGTTGACAGGCCCTCCAAATGGATAGACGGCAGCACCCTCGAACAATGCCACAAAGAACTCGCCTCGCGACACACGCTCCAAGGCGAACCACTCGTCAACTTCGCTCTCGCACGCCTAGCAAGTCCTACAAATCAGCAATCTGCATGGTTCCTCTGCGACCTACACTGGGCCGCCTACGACGGCTGGTCCCTCCGGCTCCTCCTCTCAGAAGCACAAAACCTCTATCACGGGCGCCACCCCCATCCGCTCAACGACATGCGTGTGCTAACCAACTCGCTCTGGAGCTGCGAACTCGCAAAAGCCGAGTCGTACTGGCAAAATCAGTTTTCGGGGCTGACGCATGCTGCGCTTGCTTTTCCACAACAACAACAACAACAACCCCTTGTGTGTCGCGAGGACAGCACACTACTACGGCCAGGTGACGACCACGACGCATCCGTTGTGTTGCAGGATTTTGGGTGTCAGGGTACTGGTAGCGGCTTCACGGCTTCGACCTTGATTCGCGCGGCACTCGGCATCGTGCTGGCTCGCCATTTGCAGACCGATCGCGTTGTATTTGGCGCGACGGTGACGGGTCGACAAGGCGCAGCCACTGGGCTGGATCGCATGGCTGGCCCGGCTTTTGTCACCTTGCCCATCTGTATGTCTGTCGACCGGGGCGATCCGGATGTGCTGGGCTTGTTGGAAAAGGTGCAGGCGCAGACGATGGATATGATTCCGTTTGAGCAAACGGATCTCGAGCGGTGGCGGTACCGTATTCCTGGTGCGGATATCGCGTGCGATTTCAGGGTCTTACTTGTAGTCCAGTCGCATATCGCGCAGAATGACGTGCGGAATCATGATCCCGATCTCGAATCTGTCTTTACGGAGGGTTTGAAGGCAGGTAAAGATGCGCTTGTGGAGCTGGGGTGGCGCTCAGGGAGACGGCTCCCGATGTTCGTCGAGTGTCAGATCCAGGAGAATGGCCGTCTGGCCTTACGCTTGCGTATTGACTCGAGAACAGCGGATGAACATGTGTTCATATCCTTATTGCAGGAGTTGAAACAGGAAATGTTGAATTTAAACAACATCGCAACAGGCGCTTTGTAGCCTTGTCCAGTAAAGGGGCGATTTGCACAATACTAAAGAACGACGAAGCTCATTCCGTTCTTGCTCGAGGACAGAAACCCTAGACTTAAAATCTTTTACATTTATAATAATTTTTTACTCTAGATGTCTTGCATTTAGCTTGCTAAGATCTTCCATAGCAATACGCACACTTTACTGCGAGATGCCCAGCTCCTTGTAGAAAGCCTCGGTTTGAGGTTTGCGACCAAGGAATTCCTCAAGGATGTCCATCTCTTCCTTTGAGCCACCGCGTTCAAGGACAGTGTGGCGGTAACGACGACCTTCCTTAGGGTTCATGGGGTCGGACTTGAACACGGTGTAGAACATGTCCGTAGAGTAGACTTGAGAGGAGAGGTAGCCGTAGTATCTATGGTTATCATCAGTATGTCTTGTTCTCCCATATAGCTTGTAAAGACTTACCCAGCGTCGTAGCCACCAATCAAGTGACCAAAGGTAGCCTCTCCATTACCCCAGTGCCAGTCACCCTTCTTGTCACCCTCCAGCGACTCAGGTCCCTTGAGTTGACTGATCTCATATCTCAATTTGTTGTACTTTTCAGTAATGTCCATCTTCTCAAGCTCCTCATGGCTGGCAGGTTCATGGACAGCCATGTCAAAAGTGCCAAAGTGCAACTGCCTCAAGTTGAAGAGGGCGTCATTGACGTGCTTGGTAGAGATCAGGTTGGCAATGAGCGATTGAGGAATCTGCTCCGAAGGCTTTGAGTCCTTGCCAGACGATTCCAAATACGCCTTCTCGTACTCGGGAGAGAGATACGAGTAGTGGTGTGATAGCGAGCGCAGTTGAGAGGGCGTCCAGCACCAGTTCTCCAACATCTGGGATGGAGCCTCGACAAAGTCACGGACGGTGTTGGTGCCGTGGAAGCGTGAGTAGGTTGTGCGAGACACCAGGTCGTGAATACCGTGTCCAAGCTCGTGGAAGAGAGTGACAACTTCATCGTGCTTCAGTAGCGAAGGCTTCTTCTGCGTCGGCTTGGAGAAGTTACAGACGAGGGCTGTGGCAGGGTAGCGTCGCTTGCCGTTTTCGTCAATGTAGCCAGGCTGCAGGTTGAAGTTGGCTGCATGCCCATATTTGCCATCTCGCGGGAAAAGATCAAGGTACAGGTAACCAACGAAACCAGCACCTTCGCCTTCATCGTCCCAAACACTGAAGATTTGTACATCCTCGTGCCAAACAATGTCGGATCCCTTGCCGCCATCCGCAAGCGCAGCCCTATCTTCCTCGCCGACAATCTCGACAAAGACTAGACCGAAGAGCTCCTCGAAGATCTTCAGCATGCCCTGGATTGTTGTTGACAGAGGGAAGTACTCAGCAATGACTTGGTGATCGAGCTGGTAGTCCTTCTCCAACATTAGGCGGTCGTAATACCTGTTATCCCAGAGGTAGTAGTCCTCGGCCAACGGACCAGTTAGTCCATTCTCTTTGGCATCTTGCTTCTTCAGCTCGATCAGCCTCTCAATCTCCTTCTTGCCGCCTGGCGCGAGTCTCTTGCGCAAATCCCCGAGGAATTCGTCGACCGTCTTGGGAGTCTTTGCCATCTTGTCTTCTATCCGGAACTGCGCATGGTTGTCATAGCCAAGGAGACGGGCTCCCTCGTCACGGAGGAGGATTGCTTCCCTGAAGAGCGCCACGTTGTCATCGCATTTGTTCTCGTTGGCGACAAAGACCTTCATTCGTGTCTCTGGATTAGTTGCATATTTGAGAGTAGGGAACAGGTCGGGATACTTGAAGGTGAGGAAGAGTTTGCCCTCATTCTCGCCCTCGCCCTTCTTGAGGCCAGAAAGAACATCTTCGGGAACACCGTGTAGCTCATCGGGTGTGAACCACAATCCTCCGTTCTCCTCATTGAGGTTCTTTTGGAAGGCGATGCCGATTTGACTAAGCCTTTGCTTAATCTCCTTGAACCGATCCCTCTTGGGCCCTACAGGCAAGTTCAGACCATTGCGGATGAAGGACTTGTGGTCCTTCTCCAGCAACCGCTGCGACTCAGGGTCCAGCTTCTCGCCCTTCTTCAGCGCCGCATCAACGAGGTTGAAGACGTCCTCACGCATGGACGACTCGATGCCAAAGTCGTCGAGCATCTGCTCGACCTCGCTCGAGGCGTCACGCAGCTCCTTGTTGGTCGAGACGGCGTTGTAGAAGCCGAGAATATGCGCTTCAATGGCCATTTTGTTGTCATCGCGGGCAATTGGGAGGACTGTGTTGGCAAAGGTAGCACTCTCGGGCTTGACATCGCGGACAATGCTATCTTGGACATTGCGTGACCTTTCAATCTGAGGGGCGCACGTCAGCATCTATCCGGAGCATTGCCTACTGCGGGGACCAAGGCGTTGACGACAACAGCAACAATAACTTCAACAAGACGTACCAATCGCTTGGCATCATCGACCAGGCTCTGCTTGGTAGCAGTGAACTTGGGGGGCAGCTGAGGCGGCGTCTTGTACTGGGCCGGGGCCATGGTGGAGTTTGTGAGGGGACGAAAGGGCTGGGTGTAGAGGGGATTGCGCAAGGGAGGGGGCTTGATGTATTGCAGGATCGAAGGTACACGCCCGCCGAGCCGAATCGAAGCCAGGATGGCGGTGGTGCCAATGAAGAGAGCGACGGCGGCGAGGAACCACTTGATGGGGCGTGAGGAAGCCACGGTGGGCAAGCTAGGAGGGCTTCAGTCTGATTGCTCTTATGCCGGCATGTGGGGAAGCGGGCAGTTGGATGGTGTGCTGTGTTGAACAAGGGTTTTGTACTTGTGAGCACGACAGGCAGTGAAGCTTAAGACGTTAACAACGCATGCAAATAGGCTACGTGACCTCTCCGCCGCGCTCCGGATTCTAGCCGCGTGAAGATCGGCGTCTACCATGGCATGGATGCATCCGCCTCAAGGTTAGCCCCGATTGGCAAGGCGCCATCTCCATACCCATGCTTATGCTGCCGCTCTTGTGCAACATGTTCTGTTGGAACTCCCCCCCTCCCGCCTCTTTGTCACGGGAATAAGCCTTACCGAGACAAGGCGCCATCAGTTTCAATGCCAGCAAGATTTAACATGATTACGCTTTTGATATGCGTTCGTATTATAGTACACAAAAATCATCAGATGCGTAGCAGCCCCCGTAGCCCAGCTACTTCCGCTCTTATCAAGACACGTATACCTCGTTCCGGACATGCACATATAAACATTACTTACATATAAACTGAACAAAAGAAATGTCATTTGCCTTAGTACGTCGTCTTATGCGGCGAAAATGGAGGTGCCAGATGTGGGCTGCCTTTACCATCCGAGCTCAAGCTTTCTGGTATTGTGACGAACGGGCCCCAAGTCGACTCTCTTGCTATCGTCGATCTTTCGTGTATTGTGATGAAACCCACAGACTCTCCCCTATCCAGGCCCTTCTCGTTTGGAAGTGGCCACATCTCCACATCTGGCACTTGGCGTGGACTGTACTCGTCGTCCTTTGGCGGCGTTGGTGGCGGGGCTCCTGGCGGAGTCGCGGAAATCTTCTGCGGCGTGCCGTTCTGTCGCGGCTTCTTTTCCTTGTTGCGGAAGAGAAGACGAAGAAATGGCACAGAGGCTGATATAATGCCACTGTTGGTCTCAACCTGACCCCACAGGAGCAGATCCGCGCCGTATCGCGCAGAGTTGTAAGGAGACGCGGCCCACATGTACATGACCCACATGCGTACTGAAGATGCAACAATGGCCATCAATCCCACGGAAAAGATGCCAATCAGTGCTAGTCTTTTGCCCATTGGTATCCTGAGACTCAGCAGCGTCGGCAGCGGCATCAACAGAATGATAACATCGGTGAGTAGGTTGCACGCCGACGAAAATACCCATAGCGGAACTGGATCCCAGCACACAGCGGGCTCTCTCTTAAGGTTGGGATCGAACTGGGCAAAGTAGTTTGTCGTGGACCAAGCGCTCGCTGGATTCTGGCACTGGAAGATTGCGGCAATGGTTGCGGAAAATGTGTACATCACCACAAACCCCATCGTGCCATACACGACTCGGCGAAAGGTGACGTTGGCAGCAATGGAGCGGTAGAAGAAGAGGATACTAAGCTTAATGAAGCCAAGTCCTATCACGTAGACGAACCGGTAGGCCCACCAGGAGATGAGTACTCCCAGCACGTAGGGCTCGATCTCTGGATATTTGTCCTGAGCGCGTGTGTCAGAATAGTTCTCAGAGGATTTGGTTGTAATTCCTTTCTTACAGGTCTACGGAGGTATGAGGGTCGATAGCCACTGCTTGTCACATCTTGGTAGTAGTTGATTGTGAAAGTTCCCCATGCAATGACCTAGTCAATTTTGTCAGCACTGGCCTTGAGCTTGGCATTGGTAAAACCTTACCAGAGAGACCAACATGAGATGGTCGCTTGCGGTGAGAGATCCGACAAGAAAGTACCTGCAGTAATATCTGTAGTGGCTGATTAGGATTTGGACCACAGCTGTCATTGTCACATCAACTCACCGGAGCCCCACGACGATTGTTGATATTGTTGTCAGAACTCCCCCCACGATAACCACAACGAATCCTGGGCGTAAATACATCTTTGTCTAGCCCTGCTCGCTTCTCCCTGGAAATAGGAGTTGATTGTGGTCGACGCCAAGTCGAGAATGGCGACGGTAGAGATGTGCGCCGAGAGAACAGTATGATGAGAACAAACAACGAGCATGAACACGTTGGCTACCAGACGCGATCTATAGGGGGCGAGCCCCAAGATTTAGGGTTCCCCGGGTTCTCCACCAGCGGGAGATACTGCTCCGTAAAGCGTTTCGTGACCCTTGCGTGTGCCGACCAAGTAAGACTATCAACACAACTGTGGAAATGGTGCTAGCGGAACGGAAGGCATGGCTCGACGCGCAGCGATCCACATTTGTGCCTGACGCGATATGATAGGCTCGTGCTGCCGCTAGGAGGTCGGAAAAACGTGGAGGGCTGGGCTTAGAAACCGGTATATTATTAACCAGCTCGTACTGCCATAAGATAGGCCCGGGGCCTGACAGTATTGGAATTGTATACTACGCTAGAGGCAAAAACAAAGTGGGCTTCCGTGTGGTCCCCGACAAAGGGTGTAGGGTCACAAAACGGGGGCCATTTCCAGACTGGGGTACAAAACTGATGCACTGCCAACGTCCCAAACGTCTGCTAGCTACAACCGGACTAGACAACGGTCTCGAGTGGATGTATCCGGGTATGTAACAGGGAGCCTGCATGAACTGATAGACTCGGCAACGGGACAGTCGACTGGCATCAACGTTGCGCTCGAGATGTTTGAGATGGATGAGGCTGAAACCTGCGTTGCACGCGGTTGAATGACCAACGATCTGAGGCGCAACTTGACTGACCTTGTTACAAGCAGCACTGCGGGCTCAGCCCATGAATCGCGTCGGGACATACTTATACATAGCTAAGAGACGCCTCGCCGACGGCCTTGACAATCAAGGTAAGTACTTAGCTAGAGAACGCCATGTGTACGTGCAAGCGGCAGAGTCTGGCATGGAAAGGACCTTTGTTTAATTGATCTCATCAAAACATCGTAACGTGATGCAGACTTTGACCGAACAAGTTACTGGGCGTGGGGTCGCCTAGAGTTGGGCCGAAATTGGGTGTAACTACCATCGTCGTCGCAGTTGCTTGGACAGGTTGCTTGGACAGGAATGCGGAGGAGCCGAGGTCCAGATCGAGGGCGGATGGTGACGTCAAGTGCCCACGATCGCTGTAGGGCGCAAGGCACAGGGCGAGACTGCGGACAGGATATGCGTGTAGCGGAGGTGTACATGAACATGTACATATGCACATGGCAGGTCGTATAATGTGGCTGCAAGGCAAGCCACTAACGACTTAGTGCTAGCTGTGTGCATGGTGAGTGAGAATGACTCACTATACTGCCGTCTGGTTGGACAGCCATGTGGGGCCGAATCTACCTACCATGCAGCTGCAGCGAAGCATTGCCGAATGCCTGGCTGCAGACAAGAGCGAAGCCTCACACAGCAAGCATACGTCTAGTACGTAACAGGAGAATTCAGTGCACATGTCTGAGTGCGCCACTGAAGCTCGCATGTCAGAGGAAATGCCTCGCATCAGGGCGTAAGCCTTGCATGTTCCATGGCTGCCTCCCCAACTTGCCTAGACTCATCGTCATCGTCAACCATGCCCTTGCGCATCTTCCTCGTCAGCATGAGTGAATATGATGCTGGCAAGCACTATTGCCCCAAAGACTGCCGCCAGTATAAGTCTTTGCAATCATTCGTAGAAAAAGAATTGAATTGTATTGCATGCACATAGACACGTTACAAAAGTCCACGAACCGACCATGTCCTACCCGTAAGGTCAGAACCCACCCCTTTTGCCCATCTGCCCATGCGCCGTTACTTTTGCGCACGGAGAAGAGCACGGAGAGTTTCCACCTCGCCTTCAAGCCTGGCGTTGCGGACTTTGAGTTCGTCCCGTTCGGCCTTGATCTCTTTCAGTTCAGCTTCCAGAGTACTCATTTGATCAACCCGCTTTTGGCGGTAACGACGGGCAGCAAGCGTGTTAGCTTTTCGCTTCTCAATCCGCGAAGCAGCCTCTTGTACCACGGGACTGCTCTTAGTAGACGACGTCTTGGATGAAGAAACGTGCTCAGGAGATGACGAGCTCCGATCCTTGCGGCTTGTCCAAGACGAACCAGACTGAGAGTCGTCTATACAAATTAGACACTGATCACTGAATGCGTCGTAGAGCAATTCTTACCTCTGGTCATGTGCGCTGCCGCATCCATGTTGTTGGAAAGTTTCATGCTTTGAGCCATAGCAAGTGTATCAATAGTATCTCCAGTAGTAGAAAGCGAACCATGGCCTTGGGGAAACAGTTGGAAATCATGGCCAAGATACGGCGAATTGCCAGTAGGGAAGAGGTTGAAGTCAGCAGTGGGGTAAAGAGAGGCGTCCGGTACGATAAGGTTGCCAGTCGAGGCCGAAGAGGTGGCCAGAAGGGAAGTGTCGATCAAATGATTGTTGTCTTGAGGACCGGAATAAGAAGGCCCAAGTTGCCAATCAGCAGACTGTAGTCCATGGAGGCTTGATGGCAACAGTGAATCTAGAGGGTTGCCAGAACAGGCGGAAGGGTCGGACAATGCCGAACTGCATGATGACAGAGGTATATTGCATGTCGAGATGTTGTAGTGCGGGTCCTGGTCCCCGCTGGTGAAATCGAAGAATTCGTCAAATGAAATTGGAAACTATCGGAGGGCGCCCAACACGGGGTGATGAGCGCGAAGTTTGTTGAGGAGCAGGATAGAAGGGCGGGGTGGCTTCTCTTTATATCTACGAGGGATCACACACCCCCGACGGCTGACGGGGCGATCCCAACCATGGGCGCTGGGCGCGCTAGCTGCAGACCCCCGTCGCATTTTCCAGCTGCAACTTTGCTGCGCCCATTTGTCGGCAAGCACAGCCCACACCAACGCCATGCCGACGATGCCCTCTGCACGACTGCTACGACCCGGTTTGGCGTCGACGCCATCCGACGCCCTGCTCGCCTTTCTCGTCCCCTCGGCCCAATGCGCGCACAATGGCTCCAGGGCCTGCTTTTCGACGTCACCACAATGGTGGAAGAGGGACAACAACAAAATCAGAGGCGTGTCTGCAGTGAGGGCGACTGCCCTGCGGCCACGGCAAACACTGTCCGTCAGGCAAAAAGATTTTGAGAAGCAACAGTTGCCAAAGCCGGTGCCAATCGAACACAAAGTTACTGGCACCCCAGACCATGGACTGTGGGGATTCTTCAAGGACCAAAAGCTGCTGCAGACACCAGTGGACGAGCAGAGGCATGGTATGCAGCAGTCGGCTTCATGGCGAGTGAGGCGGTAGCTGACGGGGACACAGGCAGAGCGTGGACTGTCGGCGAGCTGCGTAGTCGAGATTGGGACGCCCTCCACCAGCTGTGGTGGGTATGCGTCAAGGAGCGGAATCGCCTTGCGACAGAGAAGATTGAGCGGAAGCGCCTCAATGCCGGCTATGGTGACTACGAGAACCACGGGCGCGACAAGACAGTGCAGGAAACGATGAAGGCAATCTTGGACACGCTGGCTGAGAGGCACCAGGCGTACCAAGAGGCATATGCTCTGGCACAGCGTGATCCGGATATTGATTTGTCAAGGACGGATGGCCCACAGTACACACAACCACCATATGTGAGTTTTGCTCCTGGCCACAATCCAGTGCATGGTGCTGACACTCTCTCCAGGACCCACTAGAAGCTGACGATGCACCATACGAGGCTCAAGCTGCCTCAACGAGCGAGGAGCCTGGAAGGGACAAGACGATAGCAGAGTCGAGATGAATGCTGCACGTTTGAAGAAGGCCCGGATGTCCTTGTTGCTGCAAAGTTTACTGAGCTAGCGTGCACTCGGACGAGTTCTGCACATCTATTTGGCATGCTGGGAACAACGATGGTACATATATGCGACTACAGTCAGTACGGGGTATATGTAAGATCCTCGGGCGGCGATGAACAAGGGTTCACGGTGCACATGTACAAATAAAGGCCTGTCCAGCAGTCAAGGCAGCCTGGTTATTCTGCATTTGGTCTTGCATGGTGTCAGATAGTGAACAGCACTAGCGTAGCATATGCCAAACGCGTTGAGTTATGAAAGTAGTGCTAGCACAAACAACTCGACCAGATTGGCGAGGCGCTTCCCAAAGAGCTCCAACCCCACATCCACCTCACCGCCCTCAGTCGACCTACCCACGCGCCTTCTAGTGGACTTCTTCTACTGCAGTCTGCAAACCACCCCTATCCTCACAACTCTCCTCATTCAGCCATGGAAGAAATTGCTCCAGAATACGACGTCGTGGTCCTGGGAACAGGTGCGTTGCCATTCCCCATTACCCCGCCTACGCGACACGCAGGCCAACGCAGCTAACCATTTCACAGGTCTCACCGAATGTGTGCTTTCAGGGTAACACAAGCACCCCGACCAAAAGCAAAAACCGGACATGGGCTGACGATATCCTTGCAGTGTGCTTAGTGTAAAGGGCAAGAAGGTGCTCCACATTGATCGCAATGACCACTACGGAGGGTGCGTGGCGCTGATGGACGCTGTTGAGGGGAACTAAAGCTGACACCACACAGTGAGGCAGCATCGCTGAACATCGAGGCAGTACGTATTCAAGGACAACAACCATCACTCGACTCACTGACACTTCGTGTAGCTCTTCAAGCGATATGGCCAGACCGAGGGCGAGCCATGGAAGAAGTATGGCCGCGTCAACGACTGGAACATCGATCTCGTTCCTAAGCTTCTCATGGCCAACGGCGAACTGACCAACATCCTCGTTTCCACCGATGTCACCAAATACCTCGACTTCAAGCAAATTGCTGGCAGCTATGTTCAGCAGGGCAACGGCTCCAAGGCGACCATTGCCAAGGTCCCCTCAGACGCCGGTGAGGCTCTTCGATCGCCCCTTATGGGTCTTTTCGAGAAGCGCCGAGCGAGGAACTTCCTCGAGTGGGTTGGCGGCTACAAGGAGGATGATCCAGCCACACACAAGGGTATGACTCTCTGTAGACCAAATGTTTTTTTAGAGCAGGGTGACTGATACACAATAGGCATGGACGTCAAGAACAGCACCATGAAGGACATTTATGACAAATTTGGTCTTGAGCCCTCTACTCGCGATTTCGTTGGCCACTCTATGGCTCTTTACCCAACCGACGACTACATCGAGCAGAAGGGTGCAGCAGAAGATGCCATCCAGCGCATCAGGCTGTATGTAAACTCCATGGCACGCTATGGAAAGTCGCCATACATCTACCCCCTGTATGGTCTCGGAGAACTTCCTCAGGGCTTCGCTCGTCTGTCTGCCATTTATGGTGGCACCTACATGCTCAACACCGATGTAGATGAGTTCATCTACGAGGGCGGCAAGGTTGTTGGCATAAAGGCCACCATGAAGGAGAAGGACGTTCCTGGCGACGGCATGAAGTTTGAGACCAAGGCAGGCAAGATCCTCGCAGACCCTTCATACTTCCCCAGCAAGGCCCGTGTTACCGGACACCTGCTCAAGGCTATTTGCATTCTCAACCACCCCGTTCCCAACACATCAGATGCCGATTCCCTGCAGTTGATTATTCCCCAGTCCCAGGTCGGACGCAAGCATGGTATGTGAAGAACAATCGGCTTGAAGAAGAATGCTAATACCTCTTCTAGATATCTATGTTGCCGTCGTTTCATCTGCACACAACGTCTGCCCCAAGGGATACTACATTGCCATTGTTTCCACTATTGCTGAGGGCGACAGCAACCACCACCTTGAGCTTCAGCCGGGTCTCGACCGTCTTGGATCAATTGAGGAGAAGTTTATGGGACCAGCTATCCCGCTCTACGAGCCAATTGAGAGTGGTGCTAATGACAACATCTTCTTGTCAAAGAGCTACGATGCCACCAGCCACTTTGAGACAACGACTGGTAAGACGCGTTACTTCGACACGATTCAACGGTGCTAACATGGTACTAGATGACATCAAGGATATCTACAAGCGCGCAGAAGGCCAGGAGCTCGTTGTTGAGGGCCTTAGGGAAGGTGCAAACTTCAACGTCGAAGAATAGACAAGAGGCTTGGTGTATGATGGATAAATGCCCATACAAGCAGCAATCAGTCGCTTTGCCAGATACTTTGAGGTTTTTCTGTGGCAGGTTTGGTAGCAATGACATGCATTCATAACAATCAAGTTATCCGTACCAAGAGAGATGCAGTCGCTTGTGCGGAGCTCAAGCTCGGTATTTCCTATTTGGGCGACGCAGTACCAACCTTGATGTTCCGTTGATCACACATGCCACGGGGGACTACAGTAGACTAGTTGATTGACGAATAATGTCCACGGTGTGAAATGCGTGTTTGACTTGTCTGACAGTAGGAACGAGGGGCAACGTGGGTCTGTCTCCTTAACATAACGACGTACGTAAACTCTTGGCAGGGACAACATCGTAGAGCGTAAACCATCTGAGTACTGAGTACCGGGTCGCGTCGCAACAAAACGTGTCCTTGAGGCGCGCCTCTTTCTTTCTCTACACTCATTCACAATGTCGCAATTCAGGCGGTATGCGTTTCTGCTTATCGCGGTAGTGTTCCATTTGACGTACATATATTCTTGCTTCTCAATTTACTTTGTCAGCCCTATTGTTCATGGCATGCGCGAACACCGCGTGGAGACGCAAGAAGCTCCCGCAAAGCGATTGGTACTCTTTGTTGGTAAGATACGCCGTATTTATGCAACAGTTGGCAGGCTAACCATATTCCAGGCGATGGTCTCCGCGCAGACAAAGCATTTCAATCGTTTCCTAACCCGGACCCCAATCCGCCGACCGCTCTCGCAGACGACGTAGACACCCCTCGTCCCCTCGCTCCGTTCCTTCGCTCTCGCGTTTTAGAAAAAGGCACTTTTGGTGTCTCTCATACTCGCGTCCCCACAGAATCGCGTCCCGGGCATGTTGCGCTCATTGCAGGCTTGTATGAGGATGTTTCTGCTGTCACAACGGGATGGAAGCTCAACCCAGTCAACTTCGACAGCGTCTTCAACCGAAGTAGACATACATGGAGCTGGGGCAGTCCCGATATTCTTCCCATGTTCGAAGCGGGAGCAGTCCCAGGAAGAGTGGATGCATACTGTTATGCCGCTGAGGACGAGGATTCGTCAAAAGACGCCTGGGCACTGGACGAGTGGGTCTTTGAGCGTGTTGAGAAGCTCTTTGCTGACGCAAAAACAAATGCGACGTTGGATGCTGAGCTACGAAAAGAGAAGAATGTATTCTTCTTGCACCTGCTAGGACTTGACACGACGGGCCACATACACAGACCGTACTCATGGCAGTACCTACACAATCTACAGATTGTAGACCGAGGGGTGCAGAGAATCACACAACTTATTGAAGATTTCTATGCCGACGACAAGACAGCCTTCATCTTCACGGCCGATCACGGCATGAGCGATTGGGGTAGTCATGGCGATGGACATCCGGATAATACACGCACACCTCTGGTTACATGGGGTGCTGGTATTGCACCGCCGGTGAGAAACACATCAGGTATTGCCAGAGGGCACACCGAGTTCTCGTCTGACTGGAATTTGGATGAAATCGAACGGCATGACGTTGACCAGGCTGATGTCGCAGCCTTGATGGCGTATCTTGTTGGACTCGACTTCCCAACCAACTCTGTTGGAGTTTTGCCTCTTTCTTACCTTGACACGGATATGAAGTCCAAGGCTGAAGCGCTCCTTATCAATGCCAAAGAAATTCTGGAAATGTATCATGTCAAGGAGGAGGTGAAGAAGTCTACTACTCTAAAGTACAAGCCCTTTTCTGGCCTTGGCGACGAAGCGCACTCAGTTGAGCATCGCGTGTCAGAGATACAGGCGGTGATAGACCAAGGTAATGCTGAGCAGGCTATTCGCCAGACATACGATCTGATTGACCTTGGCCTCGAGGGTCTGCGCTATCTGCAGACGTACGACTGGTTGTTCCTGAGAACACTGGTAACGGCTGGCTATGTTGGCTGGATGGTCTTTGCTGTTACTACAGTGATTCACCTTCACGTTCTGACAGAGGAGGTACCGACACAGCGGACCATCCCGAGCATGGTAGTATTCTCCTCGGTGCTCGTTGCACTCTATGGCATTCTGTTGAAGCAGCAATCACCCATTGTCTATTACGCATATGCATTCTTTCCAGTCTTGTTCTGGGAGGAAATATATGCCCAGAGATTGTCACTTGTCAAAGGAAGCAAGATCTTGTTGGGCCATCTCAACTCTGGTGCTGATGTGGCGAAGCTTGTGCTGGGGACATTGGGATTCTTCGGTCTGCTTGAGGCTCTCGTAAGTGAAATAGTTGGTGACACCGAGCACTTTGTACTGACTTGGAATAGGTCCAAAGTTATTTCGTTCGGGAGATTTACACGGGCTGCTATCTGCTGGCAACATGCTGGCCAGCAATCTACGGTCAAGACTTTATGCGTAAGAACATGGCAACAGTTGCGGCATGGGTGGTGTCATGTATAGCCATGAGTGCTTTCACATTGCTGCCTGCAATCAAGGCAGAGGATGTGCGCTTGATGTATGTGGAACAACCTTGCTCGGTCTTGTTCGGCTGCTGACATGCATAGTCTACTCGGGGGAGTATTGATGTTCGCGGTGGGTGCACTCTACCTGCTCTTCGAAAGGAACTTGGTTGCAGGCTCCAAATCAGAGTCTGAACTTGCATCTCATGAGCTTAACAACAAATCGCGCATCATCCTCGGCGTCCAACTCGGCCTTGTCTTGCTTTCCATGATTGTCACCAAGAGCAGCATCAGCTACCTACAAGCGCGTGAGGGAATACCTTACGGCGTGCTTACCATGGGACGAGCGACGCTTGCGGCCTCTCTTTTTGTCCCGCAGCTGCATGGTCTATACCCCAATAGCCACTACGTGCACCGCCTCGTCGTCATCTTCCTCCAGTTTGCGCCGACATTCATCATCCTGTCCATCTCGTATGAAGGACTCTTCTACTTTGCCTTTTGCATGTGTCTGTTCAGCTGGATGAGCCTTGAGCATCAAGTCCACCTGCACAGCACAGGCAATCCATCAACAGCGGTCACGGCATCTGATCCGGCCAAGCCAACCAAGGACGCAGCTGTCGAGCGCCTCGAGTCTGTCCAAAAGGGAGAGTACAGGCCATTGACACTCGCCGACGCACGCACAGCTCTCTTCTTCATCTTCTTCATTCAGTCAGCATTTTTCAGCGCATCCAACATTGCGTCAGTATCGTCGTTTTCTCTGGAGGCCGTGTACCGGTTGATACCCATTTTCGATCCCTTTTCTCAGGGAGCGCTGCTCATGCTCAAGCTAATGGCTCCGTTTGCGGTGCTGTCGGCAAATTTCGGATTGTTGAACCGTGGGCTGGGCGTGGCGCCTTCTGCGCTCTTCATGGTAGTCATGGCAGTTAGCGATGTCATGACGTTGAGTTTCTTCTACATGGTCAAGGACGAGGGCAGCTGGCTGGACATTGGGACTACGATTAGCCACTTTGTGATTGCTAGTCTGCTTGGCGTGTTTGTGTCTGGACTGGAGATTTATAGCGAGTGGACGATCCGGGGCGTAGAGTTTGGGGGGAAGAAAGCGGGGGGGGCTAAGGTCAAGGGGAAGGCGGCGTAGTCGGTGCCGTGGTACGGTTTGTATGCAGAGAGCGGGCAGAAGCAACGGGGCGCCAGACACCGCGCTCGGGCTAGATAGGGAGACAGAGCGCGAGTACCAAGAGATTGCTTTTTCGTTGCCAACGACTATGGACGTTGTTGAGGTGGTGTGGCGTTGCTGGGCAACAGTGGCTGTTGAGGGGGGAGGGGTCAGGTGACGTGGACCCCACGCGGGGTCTTGTCGTCGATTGTCGGCTGCACGGGCTGTGTGATGGCGCAACATGGACTACTCTAAATGGAGTAGCGGATGGGTCAGGAGAGCATGGCATGGGTGGACAAGCGGCATGGGCGGCCTGGAGCGAGGCTGGGAGAGGCTGGGCAAGCGTTCGGCTCCACCAGTGTGGTGATGATGTGTTCTGGTTCGGAACCCAATTCCTTTTGCATGCACGCAGCTTGCAAGCTCACCGTCCTTTCGCAAACGGGCGTGTCTTGTCCACGGTATCCCATCTTATCTGCTATCTGCGCCGCCATCTAGTCACGTTAGCAGCGACATACTACTGCTAACAGCATCCTGTTCACGGCGTGGCTGTGGGCGCGCGCGCTGCTGTCATCGACTGTCCTCTGCGAAGGACAGGGGCCGTCCCAACCACCATCCGCTACCCGCCGCCCGACACGACACACGCCCAGCCGTAGTGCTTCAACCTCTCCCTTTTTCTGCCAATCTAAGGCCGTCAAATAACCCAACCTTTCTCTTATTTTTCACTCGTGGCGCAATCTCGCTTCCCGCCTCCCTCCGAGCTTATAACACCGACTACTGTCATTGTCCGCCGCAAAACTCCTCTCCCCCCATAATGTTCTTCAAAAGGTAGCCCGCTCGCCCTTCACCCGCCAAACCCGGCAAGCTAACCCAATCTAGGCGATCAAGGGCCAATTCCTACGTCGAAAACGAACCTAACCCTCGCTCGCAGTCATTCGACTACGAAGCAGATAAGCGCCCCGAATCTAGTCGCAAAGAGTCCCATCACAGTCAGCCGCTGTCGCTCGACGATCAGGACATGTACCCCCGCCAACAGCAGCCCCAGGAGCCCACGTACGCTCAGAGTGCTCCCACTTCCCACAACGCCATGCCTATGCGAACCCAGACAGTGCCTTCCACCAGCAATACCACCCCAATGGGGCTGGGTATGCCCGATCTTCTCACCGCTGCCTTCAACCAGGCCGTGCAGCCATACACGGAGAAGATTGAGCAGCTTGAGAGCCAGCTGGCCGACCTGCAGGCTTGGGTAGACCAGCTCGAGCAACAGCGCGCCGAAGTGCACAACTGGATTGACAAGCGCGGCTTGCGACCAGGTATGTTGTGTCCTCTTCTCCAGCTTGCTGACGTTGTACTGACAATTTTCCAGACGTCCCCGCCTCAATCGCAAAGATTATGGACACCACGACTGCTGACGCTGCACCCACACTCAACGCCCAGCTGGACCGCAAGATTACCATTGTCAACTTTGATCTGCACCGCCTGCAAGACGACCTCAACGACTCTATATCTTCATCGCATTTTGCGTCAGCCATGTTGAAGTTCTTGCCCGACATCCAGCGTCTGACACTCCTCCCATCTGGACCCCGCTATGCCTTCGATCTCATCCTAAAGCTCGGCGGCAACCTCAACTCGCACGGCGGCATCGACAGCGCCGACGCCGGCGACATTGCCGCACGTCGCGACTTCTACAACCGCCTCGACGAGACCATGGTCGATGTTGTGCAGCGCCGATTTGGCGAAGGCGAGGCCTGGGACGTCAAGCGCGAAATCAAGCGCATTGAGAAGACGGCTAGTTATCTCAAGACATATGGTGTCGAGCCTTACTTCCCATCCACCCTCGATATGATGAAGCGCGAGATGGAGTTTCAGCCAAACGGCGCTGGTAACGGTTCCGTTACTCCGCCTCGGTTCCACTAGAGAGAACCTTGCCTAGTAGCCCCGTTCTGAGCGAAGATCAATGGTAATGCGAATTTGTGGTACCGAGCCGGGTTTTTCGCACGAACCATTCCCGCTACCATCTTTTTCCTTTACTTGTTTTTTTTCCTCTTTGGATACCACAAACAAACGTTCCGGCTCAGTCCGTTACCTATTCCAACCAACCCCCGCTCAGTTCGCGTCAGCCCCTGCTTGCGCTTCTAAAGTCATGCCCCGTACATGACGCTCTTTTTCTCTCTCCTTTTTCTAAGCCGTTTTTTTTGGATTTTCTCCCTCTTCCCCTTCTCTGGGCTACAGTGTTATTAAGCTTACAGAGTGGAATGGAGAAACCATCATACAAGGGCGGGGGCGGCACACATGAAGTCACAATGCCCAACACATACGACCTCTCTACAGATTTGTACTTTAATACTTATTTGTTCTCTAGGGACACGAATCTCCTTGCTTTCTTTTTTTCTTTGTCCTTTTTAATATCTCCCGGATTTTCCATGGTGGAGGAAGGAGAAGAGTAGGGCAAACGTCAAGCTGGAGAGGCTCTGGTTTGGGATGGGGAGGGGTCGCGTCGGGGGGTGTGTGCTTGTCGATTTGCATCATACCCAGGTATTGATTTCTTTTCTTTTTCTTTTGTGTAATGAAACTGGCGTTAATATATATGAGTGGATGAGGTGGTGGGCCAAGGGAAGAGGAAAGAAAGCATGCTGCGTGTCTTTTTTTTTTGCGTGTGTGGACGGTATGGCAGGGGTTTGCGGCCTGCTGTCGTTTCCCTGGTTAGTTGATATACATGAGCAATTGTTAATGCCTTGAAATCTGTGTTTGCTGTTTGCTGGATATACTGGTATAACATTGCAACGTCAATACCTTTTCCGTTATTTTGCTCAAACCATTATCTTGTTGAAATCGTCAGAGTAGTAATCTTACCCTTTTTTTTTTGAAAGCAGAGAAGGTAGATATAGGTTTCTCTCTGTTCAGTTTTGCCAGTTTAATCCATGTTCAGTCTAATAAATGCGATACCTAGTTATGTACATTTTGGAATAAAGAGAAAAAGAACAGGGAAGAGAGAAGAGCGAGGAGATTTTACAAACTGTACTGCAAGAGAAAGAAGAGACCATGCTGCAAGGAGAGTCAGTTATTCGGTGAACGTGGGTATCACATCTCCATATTGAGATCATTCCAAGAGAGAAGGAAATAGGAAAAAAAAGCGAAAATGTAGAAGCAAGGCGAAGAAGAAAAGGATGAAGGAACAAAAGAAATCAGACAAGTATAGAATCCAATACAGTCTCAATCCAAGCCTCCCAACTACTCCTCTTCATTCCCAACACCCCCTTACCCTGAATACTCTGGTCCTTACCAAGTTCATTCTGTAACCCCTCCTTTGCACCCTCACCCTGCTGCTCCCACCACTCAGCCTCCGCCCTCTCCTTCGCCCTCTTGACAACCCTCTCCTCATCCTCAACACGATACAAATCGCACTTGTTACACTCTCCACACAGCTGCCCTGGCCTGTCACGAAAATGGCCACAGAAATGCTGATAGCCCTCGTTTGCGAGGCCCTGGCGACAAACATAGCACATGCTGTAGCCGCAGAGGCAGACAAGCTTGTTGCAGCCTTCTGACTTGACGAAGCCGAGGTTGCATTGCGGACAGGTGCGTTTTACCGCATCTGTTGTGGCGCGCTCGAGTGTGAGGCGGAGCGAAGTAAGTTGGGAGGAGAAGCAGGTGTGGGGGTCGTGCCAGGGGAGCGAACAGGAGAGACATGAGGCGCGTTGGCAGGTAGGTGATAGGCATTGGAAGCGGAGACCCCGGCGCTTGAGGTGGATACGGCGGAGAGCTGCTTGGAAGGGAGCGATGACGGGGAGGCGGAAGACGATTGCGGCTATGCCGTATAAGAGGAGCAGGGCGAAGAGAATAACTTGTGTGGCTTTGAAGCATAAGAGTTCAAGCAAAGGGATAGAAGCTATCGAAGCTACGATCATGGGTCGAGGCTTGAAGCGTAGGTTGGAAAAGAGACTTGTGCTTGGAAGGGCGAGATCGTCCAATTCAGCGTAGGGACAGAAGGGGCATTGGACTAGAGGAAGCTGCGACCTTGTCAGTGCGTCGGCGGCGAAACGCTCGTTGAGTTTGGCAAAGTTATCCTTTCCATCTTGTTCCTCCTCCAGGGCCCGGCGGACAAAACTAAGCGGAATGCAACCTTTGCACTCGTCAGACCCCCCAGTCATTGGCGCTATGCACTTCAAAGTACAGAACTCGGTATTAATATTGCGTGCCCATCCCTGGTCGTAGAGGGCTGCATTAATGGCATGCCGTATGCAGCGGAAGCATATGTAGTGGCCTTCGATATCGCAGGTCGACATTTGCTGCAGAGTGTTTGGTATAAAGCAGCACTCGCAGTCGTACATTTCACCTTGCTGCTCAGCCTCCTCTTCGTTCCACTTCATAGCCAACTCGAAATCTTGTCGCAGCTGCGCGTCCCGATACTTTTCGTGTTCGGGCAGAATGAGGGCATTGTAGAGTTCCTGATTCAGCTCGTCGCTCCTTGTCTTCACCAACAGCGGCATGGGCGGGCGGTTCAGCCTCGAGTCGGCAGGCGTCCATATAACTAGAGGGTGGTCATTTGCGTTAGGTGCTTTGCGTCGCATGAGGAAATTCGTGATACTTGATCTCCAACTCTTACTTGAGAGCACTAGCAGCGTCGGTCGCGCATGTGTGTAGCTCCAATTGTACTCGGCCAAAACAGCCTTGATGGTGGAATGGCTTAAACCTTTGAACTCTTGGTAGAGGGCCTCCTTGGCGGCTTCCTTGTACCGGCGTGACCTGAACCTGTCCTCGAGTGCAAGCGGTATACCACGTGTGTCCTTCGGTGCATCTTCCTTGCGGTACCTGTACTTTTGCGCCGTCTCTCGTTGCTCTTCGTGCTCGGCTGGCATCCGGTATCTTCCTCGCACATACTTGTTGCCATGCTTGAGGAGTGTCTCGGTGATTACTTGTAGCCTGCTTTCTGGGCTGAAAGTAGAGAGCATCTCTCGAAAGACCTCGGGCTGGATGTTGGGGAATATGTCCGTGAGTGCCTGGAGAGCGGTATTGAGGTCACGAAGGTCAGGTTCGTCGATGCCATGGCTGTCGATTGGAGGAGGGCCAGGAGGCGCTGTGCCCAGGTTGGCTGAGGATTGGCGGGACTTTTGTGGCCGCACGAAGGAAGAGAAGACGGTAGACATGAAGGTTAGGAGCGTTCAACGCCACAGCAAATGGTGATGGCCAGACATGCGGTTTCGTGGGGCAGGCTGGTGCAAGTGGGGCTGGCAAAGGTCAAATAAACATTACATGAACATAGGCGATTAATAGGGCGGGCGGGGTGAAGAGAAGCCGAAGAAACGTGACCATGTCGTGAGCAGAGGCAGTGTTGGACCACGGCCCTAGGTGCGGCTGCAATGACGCGTAACTCAGGTCAGCCTTATCGCCTGGGCACGTGATGCCCGGACTTCGTCTTTCACGTCTTTCATATGGGTCCTTAACCTTTTTTAAGAAACGATACATGGAATACATATTCTGCCTGTTTCTATTGTATATTAAATGTGTAGATCCATTCAAAGGTTGTCCAGGGATAGAAAACCTCTTTGCTGAAATCATTAATAGTCCATCTCTTACGTATACTAGGAATCTTGCCAAGATCGTGCCAATACACCATTCGGACAAAAAATGAAAGTTACCAAAACAAAACCAAAAGCATACGACAGCGGAGATTCGCTAGTGGCCGGACACTTTGACAGGATTACATTTCTTTCTACCCTCGTCGTAATGTGTCAGCAGTATAATCTTGAACTGTTTCATTGTGAAGAAAAAGTCTTCTCTTCTCTTAAATGTGATTGCGAGAAACTAGCTCTGGGTCCAAACTCCCACATACCTAGCACTCCATACAAAAATAATTCGATCATCTCGCTAGTACGCCCTCTAGTTATTTCTTCAAGTTCTTACCGCTTCCACACAACATGCAAAAGAGAGGGTAAAGAGATTGTTTTCTGCCCAGAGTTAGGTTTAGGATATCGCTAACATGAAGTGATCCCTTTTCAAAAATTATACCTCCCCCATACCCCTATCATAGATAGAAGACACCAAATTAATGAGTCTTTTGCACACGTTACAGAGACAATTCAGAGAGCGAGAGAAAGTAGACTTCGTTTGTTAGTAATATGTTGATATGTTGATAGGTGTTAGGACATGTATCCATGACACATGTTATACTACAAGCATCCGCCTACGATAGCCTAGACACCGTGTTTCTCATCCCGAACAGCTGCGCTTCCTTCGAGCTCCGCAGGCGGCTGCTCTGGTGGAATATACAGGCTGTTCCTCCCAATCTCATGCGGCTTAGCTTCCGATGTATAAATCTCTGGCTTTACACCGTCTTGTGGCAGCTCGTTGATATCGTTTCCAGCAACTTCGGGCGGCGGTGGCACGGCAGGTGGTTGCGCAAGAGCGTGTTTCTTGTTGCGACGACGACGACGATAGACCAGGAAGAAGGCGAGGCCGACCAGAGCAAGACCGCCCACACCGCCGACGACACCACCAACTATGGCGCCCGTATTACTCTTTTTAGAATTGCTTGCCTCATTAGAGGTTCCTGTTGGGCGCGAGGGATTAATAGTCGGGTTGGGCGGAGTGCACATGTCGACGCTGTAGTAAACCCATGAAGCATTGTAACAGGCTGCTATCTGTGCGAATTGAAGAGCGGTTGAAGAGCAAGGCACAAACTCCTCAGCATCGGCGCCATAGATTGTCGCTGATAGAGTCAGTGCCTCAATGCATTCATCTTGGAAAAACTGTTCACTCACCACTGCAACCGGGATCGAGATCGACAACCTAGTGACGTTAGGTTTTTCCTACAGGCAGTCGTTTCGCTTTCGTCCATACCTGGAAACTCCCATATTTGCCATTGTCAGCCAATCTGGAACAGGTGCCATTGGGGTAGCCATTTTCAACATTGAAGCTTTGAAATGCATTTTTGCATTTGTCGTCCGTGAACGTGGCAATGATTGAGCTGGATACGAGATGGAACAATGCAGCGACCAAGACAAGGCTGCGAACCGTCCACACATGGGACCCGAGTTGAACCATTGTAGCGGGGCCGGGGAGGCTTGCTGAGTCCTTAGACCGCTCGCGAGTGTAGTCCGAAGAGCGGGAGAGTGGCAGAAGCGAGGGCGAAGGGATGAGCTTTCTTCTCGTAGCTGCGGCTCATGTAGCTGACTAAAAGAAATGCTAGTATCCCTCAACTCAGCTGGTCAATCAGCTATGAGTCGCTGAAAGAATCCAGCCTCGTCGATCATAAATCCTTCCTGGTCGCCTATCGTGGGCGAGAACCACTCGGACCTACTTACAAGACGTGGGTGTGGTGACACGAGCCCGGCGGGTAAAATCAGGGTGCGCCAATCCGACCCCAGTATGAACATCTTCACTCGATCTGGTGCTTGTTAATTCTTTCAGTGCATGAACATGAGCGCCATTCACGCCATGACACCACAATCGCATTGGCGTTTTTGGTGGCCGTTTCGGTGCGGGACGCTCCTTGGGCTTAGTAGTACAAACTTGATTGGCTATTTTCCTTTAACGGCTAAATCCTATAGATTATGTCACATCTAGTTGGCTTCGTAAGCAGATCGTGGCGTTCTAAAAGGGGAAGAATCCTTGTCACTGTGGGTTAGCCGCAAGCATGGGTCGGGGAACAAGAACCGCTAAGCAGTCTCGGCAACTAATTAACCATTGATGTGTAACCAGAAGACTACGGGATGCTCTATTTCTGTCTTTTGGCCCTCATTGATCTGGTTTATTGCTGAAAACGGAACTCTCAGCCAAGAACTATTCTTCAGAACGGTAGATTTGGGGTCGAAAAAGGCTGAGGCTGTACATAGAACCTCGTCAAGATTTCTCCACTGACATAGCTGATGAAGAGTATAAGAGGACTCTTGCCGGCTTAATGAAAGAAGCACATCGCAACAAGCAACCCGAGTCAATACTCAAATCCCATACTTAAAACAGCAGTCAAAATGCGTACCTCAATCATTGTCGCTCTTTCGAGCCTGAGCCTTACCGTTATGGGTTGCAGCACAGTGACCAAGGTCACCCATACCTTTTATGGATACCCAGATAACGACCCAGCAGGTAAGTTAAGATACAACCTTGTCGCCAACGCCAGGGCTGGTGGCCAATGCTAACGATCCACTAGGCCCAGCGACCGCTTACGATTGTGGCCGTGGCTTCAAGGCTGGTGGTACTGGCACCTATACCGATCCCTTGACTTTTGCCTCTGCACCCGGAGAATTCAACCAGTGTGAGGTCATCTACGACCCATACCTGCGCAAGTACCTGCGCTTCGAAGATTACTGCGCCCAGTGCACCACCGACTGGAAGGCGAACCCAAAGATCAACCATATCGATGTATGGACTGGCAGCACCACAGTCAATGGCGGTCAAGACCAGATACAATGTGAAAATGATCTTACGCCAGCAGATCGGAGCCAGACCATCGTTCGCCAGCCATCTGCTAATCTTCCTGTTGACAGTAAGTTGCCGCATTGAACTCGATTACTAGCGAGATGAGCTGACACATGACCAGAAACCAACCTTTATGTCAAGGGTGCAAGCCCCTCTTGCAGAACTAGCCACACATATCCCAGTTATAACATTCGCGATTACTGCTAGACAAAAACATGGTAGCTGTATAGCGCAGGAAACGTTTTTGGAGGCCATACTACGCATTTGGAGTCGTTTCGTTATGAGATTTTCTATACATAGGCATATATAAGCGTTGAAGCAGTTTTCCAGAAAACAAGTAGTGCATTGGAAGTATTGACACTCATACCATGAAGCTGTGGCTGGATTTCTTCAATGTCGCATAAATTAAATTAAACATTAGTAACGTGCCGAGCTGAACATCGGATGTAAACAGCCTATCGCCCGCCCCGCCCCGCCTTTAGTCCCTGCAGCTGCACCTGGTCAAGAGAACAACCTTAGTTTTCTACTGATGCGGCAACCTCCATGGTGGATCCAAGCAATGTTCCTCAAAAGGGAGCTCACAAGGACGGTTGCCGTCAAGCGAAACAGTGAGTTGTTTAATCCAGAGTAAGTATACGCACGTACAGCTAGCTTATCGTGAACGCAGTAAGCGCGAAAAGTCCAAGAAGGCAACTGGCGCGCCACTCACTGTGTCAGGCGTCCTAGCAAACCAGGCCCCTAGGGCTCAGAAGACAACCCAGGAGAGCCAATTGATGACGGAAAGTGTAAAGTCTGCTCCGAAAGAAGATTCTGAGACTGCTGCAACGCCGAAGAAAAATAAGCCACGTCCGAGCAAATCGTACGTACGCAGAGTCAGACCTATATCGACTCTAGACTTATGAGTGCAACAGTGCACGTGCAAGAATACAAGCAGCGAAAGCTTCGCTAACGACAGAATCACCTTCTTCGTCTACAGGAATTGTGAGATCAGCTCCTGATGTCAAAGAGCCCCGACTAGCCACAGTACCTGTGTCGGCATCGCCTTCTGGAGTACTACCGGCCAAAAATACGCACTCCAGGGTGACACCACCAACCCCAAACCCAGCAAAAGTTTCTAAATCTACACCAAATTCAACTCATAAGTCAGCCTCGAAACGGGTGCCCCCAAAAGCAAAATCATCAACATGGAAGACAGCATGGATGCTTAAAGAGACCACTGGGAGGACTATCATCACCATCGACACAATTTCATTGCAGCCCGACAACAACCCCGTCGACTCCACAGAGGGCTTCGAAACTCTCTGCAGCTATAACTGGCAAAACGATGGCACCATCTACGTCCCCGGTGGGCCTCCAAAATGGACACCTCCCCTATTACCAACCACCTTGGCACAGGACGCTGGACACCACTTCATCGACCAGAACGCCGCCCGCGTCCCCAAATACCCTTTCGAGCCCGCCTTTCGCGCCCTCTCTCTCATGAATCCTGAGACAAGCCTAGCCGCCGTCGACATCCTCGCCAACCGCAATTCTCTCCGCAAACTCCTCGATCTATCCGCAGGCAAAAAACTCGATCCCTTCTGCATGGGCCTAAACCTCATCAACGATACTCTCGTTATAAGCCGCAAAGAGCGTACCGCCCAGCACATGGTCCACGGTACCCCAAACTCCGGTTACGGGCATAACTTTGAACGAGCATTCACCACACCCGACAACGATCTGGGGAATTCGAGTAGCCACCATAGAGTGATTCGGTATCGAATTGGGCCGCTGGACTGCGTTGTTAGGTTTGAAGTCGATGCTTACTATGACGACTCGGAGCACGATATACTAGCCGATTCGCTCACAGCCGCAATGGAGAAACTACAAGTAGCAGAGAACGCAGCTCCATCGACCCCAATGCAACCACCCAATGCACCCACAATCGCAATCGAAAAAGGCACTTTCGTTTCTCCTTCCCTCCTCGCAGAAATCAAAGCAAAGAAATTGAATCGCGTGGCCGACGCCATGCCGCAGCTGTGGTTCGGTCGCACGCCGTATTTTATCAATGGCAACCATGAGAAGGGGACGGTGCATTCGGTTAGTGTTACGCGGGCGGAAGAGCAGTTTGGGAAGTGGGAGGCAGCGAATCAGGAGAGGCTGAGGAAGATGGTGGGGTTGTTGGTAGGTATTAAACGGACGGTGAGGGGGATCAGAGGTGGGGCAGGTATTCTGGTTTATGATGTCAAGGGTGGGCCCTTGAAGGTTTACCAGGCGAGGAGTGAGGAGGGGGTTTTGCCGAAGGATATTATTGAGAAGCATTGGACTGTGTGAGGTGATGAGTGTTGGGTGTTCTCGAATCTGCGGGTGGGGCAATTAACTTTTGATTTTCTACCACCTCTAAGATACATAAGGGCATGTAGATCTGGTGGATATTTCTGATTAAGCAGTCCTTTAATTACGAATCTCTACATAATAGCTGAAGATTTCAAACAAGGGGTATCGAAGAGACGGGCGTTCATACGGACGTCAACAGGGGATATTGGGGGATCATGAACTCGGAAAATTATAGTACGAAGATGCTGAGCCAGAGATAAGATGTAAAACAAAATCAAAAAAGTGGTATCAAGAAGTAAAAAGACACAAACTTAAAAGAACGAAGCGTAGAGATACGCAAAGCGTCGCCACCAAGACTCTTACAGCCAAGCCCACTCCACCTTGACCCTGCCCAAGTCGGGGTCGGCCAGCTTTTTGAACATGGCAGGGCTAACATCGAGGTCGGTAGGTTTGCAGCCGGTACCTGATATAAGATTAGCGCCAATTCACTGAACAAAAACGAGATGGGCCAATACGGCCTGAGGTACTTACACCTATCAATCACAGTCACGTCGATGCTGGCATCCTTGCCCGTCCTCTCGTCGACACGGTGGGCACGGATCTTCCTGCCACAGAGCGAATTGGTGTTGGGATTGGCGCCCACTTGATTCTTGTCCCCTTTTGAGTCCCCAATGTTAGTCTACATGTCATGTTGAAATATAGGAAACAAGACTTACAAAGGATGTGGGAAACGGCCACGACTGGATCGCCATCGCCGTGAGTCTGACCACAGGCGCCAAGGCCCGGGTTGTAATAGGTCAAGTCGCCCTCGAAAGTTTGCGCTCCTCCAGGTAAAGGTAGGGCAATATCACTACCACGCGGAATTAGCAATGACAAAGAAAGCTGGATTGAGTAAAGGCAACCTACTCAGACTTGCCAGATAGACCGACTGCCAGGCCCACGATGAGAGCCAGAAGAAGGATAAAAGAAGCGCCGATGATGATAAGGAGTGTACGACGGCTGATGCGATTGTTGAAATATCTTTTGTGTGGTGGGAGAAGATTGTCTAGATGGCGGGAAATAGTTGAGCTCAAGGCGCCTCCCGTTGCACCTGCAAGAAATCCTCCGCCCGATGTATTCCGTCTTCGTTCGGTTCCTTGATTGTCCGTCACACCCTGCTCAATTGAAGAAGCGGAGTCGTCAATTGCCGTCTCTTTCTTTTGCTGCTCTGAAAGCGCATCCTGATGATGCACAGGAGCATTAAATCCTGGCCCAAATGCAGCGGCTGCAACATCAGGAGAACCATCCTTTAAGTGCGCCTGCGCAGGCGGTGGAAGTGGTTTCCTGGGAATCATTGAAGAACTCATTTTCTAAGGAATGTCGGCGCGTAACTGGCGCGAAGCAGGGTATATGTAGAAAGATGTTTGTAACAACAACGCATCACGCTGTGGTGGAGCAATGGCAAAAACTAAGAGAGTGAACAGTTCAGACAAAGTGCCTGAACTTAACAAAGCGCATCAAGATAAGGGTCCAGGTTAGAGTGTGGAGAAGGAGGGGTCTTGTGGGTCAGAGAGTGAACGTCAACAAGGGGGTCAAGGCGGCAACGTTTCGGCAACGGGCGATTCGCCGAGGCTCCTCCGAACTATCCATGTCAACCTCAACTCATCCACCAGAGGCGACACATCACTAACCCTCGAGTTGATACCACTCATCCCACCGTAGACTAGACGTCATCCGTGGCCACATAATCACCTCACTAGCTACAGGCCCAATACCGAGTTTGCCTGCACGTCGCTCTCTACTGTCGCACTCAACGCTCCATACGTCGCTCTCGGCCACACCACAGGCCCTGTAGCACCGTCTCATCACTGTCTGGCACATAGTGACAGAACACAGCCATGGCGGAACAAAGCATCAACGTTCCCCAGGTACTCGTGTTCATCGTCGTCACCTTCCTGGCCGTACGATGGTACTTTAGCAAACCCACACCAGCAGCGCCTGGCACGCGAGCAGCCGCAAACCGCGCCACACCCCGTATCAACCTGGCGCAGATCGACCAGGTAGCGGAGATGTTGCCGCAACTGAATAGAAGGGACATTGCGTGGGATCTGCAGCGAAACGGTGGAAATGTTGCAGCAACAACAGAGCGGGCGCTGAGTGGGCGGGGGTTAGACACGGTATGATTTATCCATGGACATGTGTCAAAAAGAACTTGGTTCGCTGACGTTGAGATAGGCACCACCATCTTTCCAAATACCTGCACCACGCGCTTCACCTGCACCCGCTCGACCAGCCGCTGCACCAGCAAAGCCTTCACATCCCGATCTGATCACACGATACAACCTATCTTCAAAGATCAACGAAGCACCCCAGGCTGCACCAGAAGAGCAACCAAAATCAAAATCTTGGAGCGCGGACAAGAATGAGAGGCAGGCGAATCTGCAAAGGAGGAGAGAGGAGATGATTCTGGCCGCACGGAGGAAGCTGGAGGCACAGGAAAAGGCAAAGGCTTCGGGAACAAGTGCATGAAGGGATGTGGTACAGCTATCATACTAGATCTGGTACACTTGCCAAAGGCAAGCGTACACGGTCCACGATCAGTCGTGATATTCTAGGTCGATCTTGCATTAATACCAGGGCCCTTTCAACTGTCCCGATTTAATATGCATTTTCCGTCCAGATCTCTCATCGCCACACTTTATGCGCAATCAATAGCGACATTATACTATATTTGTCATGTATCTCCGTCATGAGCCAATAATGGCGCTGCATCCGTAGCACCCCCCCCCCCCCCCCCCCCCCCCCGCTCTGCCGTTTTAATTTTTTTTTCCGTGTTTCTTGGTCTTTTCGCCATTTATGTCTCATACAGCTGAGATCTGGAGCGCCCTGGGGCTTCCGGCGCGAGCAGCTGCTCGCCTTCTGCTAGCGCCGCGCTACCTGATCAATGGCTTTTCGCGTCTCCGCGAGTGGAACGACAATGCGTGGGCGCGAACACGGTACGGGCCGTCGTATCGCTACCGTCTGTGGCTGCTGTTTGATGCGCGGGATCTGGAGGTGTTGGAACATATAATCAATCAG